CCTAACCCTAACCCCTAACCCCTAACCCCTAACCCCTAACCCCTAACCCCTAACCCCTAACCCCTAACCCCTAAGATCGTCGCAGTCTCGTTGTATAGCAATGATGTTGATCTAGTTACCGAGGCCCTAGGACCATTTTTGCGCTTCATCACATGGACGGCGTCTGGTACCAAATCCTCTCGCTGCCCCGGCTCTTGTCGCACCTCGAGATCAAGCACGACATGCCCTGCCCCGACACCGTCTGGGCCATCGAGACAGCCGCAGACTGGGCGCACTACCGCCTACTCGCCAGTCACCGGAACGAAGCCAGCCTGGAGACCATGCAATATTCTGAATCCGTGCGCCACATGTTTGCTATCCCGGATCTCGATCGCAAACATTTCCCTCACCTAGGTCTGCAGGGAGTGATGAACGTCATCAATTTCATTTCGTCGAGTTTGAGGGAGGTGTCGGGTTGGTCGACAATGACGGGGAGCGTGAGCATGGAGAGACCCGAGGTGAGTCGTAGAGCGATGTCGAGTTCTTCATTGGCAGGCGATGCGAATACGAAGGGAACTGACAAAAGCCGCCTCTCTCGACACTAGATGCTTCGGAAACCGCTGGCCGCATTGAGACATGTATTCGATGGCCTGCTGCCGAGTCAACCTGGTGCTGACGATCGGATACTGGTCGAAGCTACCTGGCGAATGGCGATGCTGGAGATGCTCTCGTGGAGTCCGTCGCACATGCGAGGGATCATCGAATCTAGCTTGGAGGGAGCCGTAGCTACTGCGTGAGTTGGGGGGTTATATGCTATCATCTAATCGCATCTCCACTGTAGCTCACCGCAACGTGTTCGCATCGTTCCTCACAGTGCCTACCTCGCCTCAACACAGGACCTCATCATCCACCCAGAGATCAAGCAGAATCTCATCCCGCATATCGAGTGGTTTCTGCTTTACCTCGATGACACGACGGACGTCATTCAAGAATCCCCCCTTGTCGCCCTCTACGCCTGGCGAGCTTTCTTGATCGCATGGCAATTGCTTCAACAAGAGACGTCCGGTAGTTTCGGCTGCATGAGCGTCATCGGAATTCAAGCTGGAAACTCGCATGCCGCTCGCCTCTGGGTCGAGGAGGTCTTCAATCGACGTCGAAAGTGGTTGATTGGACAGGCAGTCTTGCGAAACATCTACGTGCTCTAGAAAGACTCGGGCATGTTTGGTGGTCCCCTCGTCACTAAACCCATCGTTGCAAGCACTCGCTCGAGCGTTCATCATATCGACCTGAAGTGCAAGCTCTACAACGAGACAAGACGGTCGTCACGCCTTGACAAAGATCTTCTTTGTGTAACTGGCCCTGACTGACAACGCTAGGAGTGACGCGACAGCCGTGCTGCCTCCCACGACGTACTGCAAGAGGCATCGGAAGGTCAACACCGTGTACAGTCACACAAGTGCACAGACGAGAACATCTCACCATCGTCGGCTTGTATGGTGCAGCCCCGGCATCGGTTCCTCCAAACTTTTCGAGCAAGAGACCCGCGGTTAGAGGACCAATCAGACCCTAGAAGCGAAAGCCGGGATCAGCGACTTGCTCAGGTCATAATTCAACGAACATCATGGACCTACCCCAAAGGACTGCGCCATCTCGATCCAACCGATAGCCTACACGACGAACAGCGCGAATGGGTCAGCCTTTATTGGCACGCGTGGTATCGGCAAAGACGCACCTGATGGATTCTGTGATTCCCTACCACCTGGCCGACGATAGAGGACTGCGGGGAGAGATTACTGAGAGACATTCTACGCGATACTGTTGACAACATACCTGCAGCGAGAAGAAACCGCCAGAGCCGAGTCCACACCAGATGGAGAACCTGTTAAGGTAGAGATAAATGAATGGTCAATCACTACAATGAACCAGGCCTCAATCTCGCTACTCACCCTGCGACACTCGCAAACGTGACACTGAACGGCCACACTGTCAGACTGCTCAGCAGGATCGACAGTAAGGCGATGATCCACGAAGTCAAGTTCTTTGGCACGAGAGATGTCAGCTAGATACGCGCTTAGTAGACACCTTGTTGTACATACTCCGACCAGCATATCCGCCATGTAACCGAAGCCAATCCTGCCGATCCCGCTCGAGATATTGTATAATGCTGAGAAGAGAGCGCCTTGACTCGCTGTCATACCGATAGAAACGGCTGTATTCCAGTGTGAAGGCAATCAGCGCTTTGTGAAACCTTTCTGCCTAGACCCGCGCGAGACCCACCATACTGCGGCAAGTAGAACGGCGGGATGAAGAAGGGCCAGCTGACGATGACACACGTCAAGACCACCCTGAGGTACATGCTCGATTTGAAGATGCTCTTCTCTGGCGTAGGCGTCATGTCGGTGCCGGACAACGGTTGAGTCGGTCGAGGTTGAACACCGGGTCGAAGGGTATAGGCAGCGGGCAGGCAAAGTACCAATGTCGAGAGCGCTTTCGAGCCGCGGTAAGGTCATCAGCATTGACACCATTGCAATGCAGTGTCTATTCGCTCGACTCACCCAACACCCTATAAGTCCATGAGAGCCCGACCTTCGAGATCAACTTTTCCACGATCACGCTCCATGCAGCTCCCCCGATCCCCCCTCCACACGATGTGATCCCCGTGGCCAAGCCTCGTTTCCTCATGAAAAACTGAGAAGGTAAAGGATAGACCGTCTACAAGACCATCGCCGGTCAGCGACACCCCGTTCAAAGCGCCACCCTTGGTACTGACCATGAACAGCGCCCCATTGGCGATCCCCGCACAACATCCTTGCAATACGATCAGTCCGCCGAGACTGTGCGTCGCGAACGAACACAGAAACAGGGAGAGGGAAAGGAAGCTGACGCCGACGAGTCCGACTATTCGTGGTCCGCATTTCCGTAGTATGAACGAGGTCTGAGAGCGCAAGAGCGAGGGCAAGACGTAAGCCATTCAGGCGAGATCGAGCGGAAACCCTAAAGTTTGGGACCACGCACGGGCAGACAGAACGCTGCGGTAAAGAAGGCGTTGAGTCCTCCTATCAGACTCAATAGTTGAGATCCTCCAAGTCCCTTCTTGTTGAGGTCGGCTTGTATCACTCCCCACGCATATAACAGCCCGAGGAAATGGAATGCGATGAGGAAGGTACCTGTGTCGACGTAAGACTGACTCAGCCAACGATGGCTGGCTACATCCGACATCTTGGGCGAGACTCACAACCAACGATGACCCAACCAAACCCGCCGTCGAGATATTCTTCATGCCCACTTGCGTCCAGATCAATACTCTGTGTAGCGCTATCAACCACATAGTCCTTGGCGCTGCTGGCGGAACTCTGAGCGGGTCGCACGTCGTCCCCTAACGAAGTCCGGTGTATCGCCCGATCTCGGAGTTCGATCGAGTCCCCTCGCTGGATGCCGGGTTTGCTTGAACCAGCGTGCGACATGCTGGACTATGAATAAGGATTTGGCAGGTCCAGATCTATCACAACGAGCGTATCGATACAATCTTCTATCTCTTCGAAACGACAGAAACCTGGTCTCGGGCTGGAGGTGTATGAGATGTGCTGCAGGTACCTAACCGACGATCCCCGCCAAACCCGACGCGATGATCAGGCACCTCAGCTACGGATCAACACTTGCTTCATTTGACAGAAGATGTCATACTCGCATTGAATCCTTCATTATGACCAAGTAGCAGTGATACAACGCTACGAAGAACGCGCTTCTTCGATACCTAGCTCTTAGCTATTAGTCAAACCTGCCGATGCTCAAGCGATACAACCAGAATGAAACCCCCTAGATGTATAATTGTCCACTTTGCCAAAGGCCCTTGAGCCCGTTCTACTTGTCGGCATGCTCGACGCTGACGTGTCCAACCTTTTCGTCGTAGCCGAGCTTGTCTTCCTCGTCGTTGCTGTCGGTCCTGGTCGCGGTGTGATGACCCTTGGGTACCGCCATGTGCGAATCGTGCAGGTCCTCGACGTGGATCTCCCCCTCGATCTCGGTCGTCGTCTCGTTCATCGTGTAGACCACGATACCGGCAAGCGGTAGCGAAACGAGGAAGAGCAAGGCGGAGACGAGGTGTTCGGTCAAGTAAGGGGTCTGCGTTCAGGATTAAGTGGGCGTCAGTTCGATTCCAGGTTGGTCAGATCGAACACCGCTCCTCACCTTGACAGCATCCATACCGTAGCTAATGGCACCACCAGCAGACTGAACGGCCTTGTACAGACCGGCAAATCGAGCGAGCTTCCAAGGGTCGTTCGACAAGGCGCCCATGATCCAGTCTGCGAAGCGATCCGAGGCGCAGTTAGCCTGTGGTACATCGCCCGCAAGCGCGTAGTTGTGGAACTCACAAGCCAATCCCTGGAAGGCCGAGTCCATGATATAGTACGACATGTAGAGGACGATGGGTCCGTGAGCGACCTTGTCGGTCCAATCCCAGTTGGGGGATTTAGATTCCCGAGTGAACTAGATATCAACCGCGTCTTATTAGTCCTTCGTGGCATTGCAGGAACCTCCAGATCCTGTAGGACTAGACTCACCCCGAGCTGGAACCCTAGACCACCTCCCCAAACAGCAATTCCCAAGAAGAAGACGGTCGCAACCCCGATCATCCCTCGCTTACGCCTGGCGAACGGGAGCTTGTCGAGCAAGAGACCGACAAAGATGGCTCCGAGGATGGCACCCAGACCATCGAGCACCGCGACAAGCGCACGGGTTCGGCCGTTGAATTTGGCAACGTTCAGGGCTCCTTGCTGTCGGAAGTACGTGCATGGCGTTAGGCTCGTGCGCTAAAGCGTTAACTGACGCAGAAATTGCTCACGTAGGCGTAAAAGTAGTTGGAGGCAAAAAACATGGGGAGGAGGACGATCATGCGCCAATCCTTGATGACCTTCCACATGCCGGTGACTTCCTCCTTAAGAGTCGCCTGGGCTTGAACGGAGACTGTATGTGATGCGATAAATCAAGATCAGAAACATCGTCCCCATTAAAATCACTTCAAGCCCCGTCCCTCTACGGGTTGTCGAAACTCACCGGCAGTTCCATCCCCTCGAACGATCTTGTGCAAGGGCAAGATGGTCATGGTCGAAGCGGCTCCGATCAACATGATGATCAAGAAAGCCAAGTAGATTCCAGTAGAGATGGTCGAGACCTGTCCGTCTTGAGCAGTAATCCCCAGGACGATCAAGGCCCCCATGAGCGAACCCGAGTTGAACTAGGTGACGAAAACATTTGATATCGTATCAGTTGACAAGTTCTAGTCGAGGCAGGCTGGAGAGGTTCTACTCACGATCGCCCAGAACAGACTGAAAGCCTTTCCCTTGTCCTTTTCCGAGGGGATGGCCATCATCAAACAACCCTCTGAGCCGATCCACCAATCGATAAGCCCCCTTGAACAAAAACGTGCCAACCCCTCGCCCCGAGCCTCGAAACTTACGGGCACTCCAGAGCAAAGACGCACAAGCACCCAACACGGCTCCTCCTAGGTATACGAACCATTTGGTCCCCTGCGTCTGGAAGCACCAAAGGCTTCCGATGTAGAACGCATAGCCGAGACTTCCCAATAAGAGGGTGTATCGAGGCCCGAGCAGGTTGGTAACGGCTCCTGCTCCTAGACCGCCGAACGCAAAGGTTGCATAGAGGATCGAGTTGGCGATGTTTGACATGACGATATCTTGTGTCCCTCCGGCTCCCAAGTTGGAGACGCTGATGGGACACAGACAGAGACGGAGAGAGAGAGGCTTCTGGGTAAGCAGTGATAACCAGCGTCTGGGGCGGACTGACGACTCACGCGCTGAACATCCCGACCGTACTACAAAGCGCAGAAGCACCAAGAAAATCAGCCTCAGGTCCTGTGTAATCGCTACGGGATTCAACCTGAGACCTACCAGAATACGACGAAACCGAGCAAGGCCACCTGGACCATCGGCGAGTTGTATCGGAGGGACCCGATCTGAAGGGTAGCTAGCTCGACCATGATGAGCTACAGTTTAATCTGTTTATCCGACCGAGGGGAATTGTATGGTTGATGTTGATGTCCCAGTAGGTAAAAGCACAGTATAGGTGAATGATGTCGAATGATGTTGCAGCTATCTATATCTGATGGATATCGCCTGTCGACCGGTCGTCTGACCTAGCGTGATCATATCGATAGGGAATCGATCCGATTGTTATTGAGATCTCCCGTTCGAGCAACTCCCCCGGCCAAACTCGGCTATGCAGAGCCGTAAAAGCCACCCAACTTATCTTTCCCGCCCGCTGCTGCTGCTGAGCCTGAGCTCTGAAGTTGATCTTTTGATTCCGAAATGAGAATGCGGGGGACTCGCCAAGAGCAGCGGGGTATTGATTTTGACCATGTGACGCGCCATCGTCTCATCGGGCTTGAGCGATACGGGAAACACGGGGCGATGTTCAGACATCTTCCACCTCTGACCTCTGACGAGCAAAGCGCATCCTCTCGACATGTCGGCGATGACGTGCAGAGTCCAGACACGACGGAGGATCTGATTGCTCTCTGTACCCGTTCCATATCGCTGTGAGTCCGATCGCCTTGTCTCCAGACGCAGTGCAGGTCAGATCTGCTCAGACCGGCAAAATCGCCGAGATTTGATCTCTCGGACCGGAACGCCATGATGTTCCCTTGATCACCGTATCGATAACTCATAGCTTCCATTGCGATCAGTACCGAAGCTGATGATCATAATGATATCATCGTGATGATGATGATCGTGAAACCGCACTTCTGGCTGTGATGATCAGGAAATGATGAGACACGAAAGTACTGATTGGCGAGAGAAGGTCGACGCCACGTGATGATGGAATAGGTGGATCGCGGATGCAAATTGTCCTCGAAAGCGGACATGATCATGTTTACTACGTCGTGTTCTCGTGCCACGGATCATCGATGCAGTACAGGACCTAAAGCGATGTCGAGCGACCACAAGCTTTGATCCTGTGTCATCTTCGAACGCATCTGGAAGTGCCCCATTCGAATACAATATCACACCAGCCGAATCATCGACTCAAACAAAGGCACTGAATGCACGAACCGATCTCATATACTGGCTATCCTTTGTTCGATCTTACAATAGGTAAACGACACGACGACAATACAACTTCTGCTCAAACCCTCGATCAAACGGGCAACAAAACCTTGACCCCGAAATACTGTCGATTCTGCATCAACTTGCCATCGATCAAGATCTGATCCGCTCCGATCCTGTTCCGCTCGGTATCGGTAGGGTCGGTCGCCTCGGCGATCTGGACTTCTCGCCATTGCTGGTTGGTGGGCACAGGGACGCCTTGTCTCATGATCGCTTGGAATTCTTTGAAGACGCCTTGTTCTTCGATACAGCCTTCGCGCTGGATGAGGGGCGAGTCTGGGGAGGCGGCGAAACAAAGCAAGAGCAACCAGTCGAGATATCAGCCTGATGGATCTGAACACCGATATGAAGTCCTCGTCGAAGACTCACCTTTGGCAGGTGTCATGCGGAGGTTCCCCAAGGAAGAGTTGAAAAGGACCAACGACAGCCTCTCCTCGTGCAACTGATCGGCAGGAGGCCTAAACACTCGGTGTCGAGTTGCCTTGAAATGACCCCCGGAGACAATCTCCAACGTCTCCCCGATATTGATGACCAAAGCGCCCGGCTTATAAGGAACGTAATACCACTGCTCATCCCTCCCCCAAATCTGGAGACAAGAGATCGGGACGGAGAACAACAGCGTGGTCAATCCGAAATCCGTATGCCCGTGCATTCTCAGTCCTTTAGACTGTTCCTGCGTGGTCTTCTCGACCGGACGGAACAGGGCGTGGCGGAAGTATCCTTCGCCGGTGGGGCTTCCGTGGGACTGGACGTTGTCCCAGAGATAGTCGTCCGGCAATTCGAGGACGCGGGAGAAGAGCGTCAAGAGACGACGGTTGACGGACTTGGTCAGGTACTGCAACGCAAGAACCGGTTTGGAATCAAGTCGGCTGATCAGCTCGAGTCAAGGTTCGAGGGTCAAGCAAGTCTCGTCGACAGACCACAGCGGACTCACGTTACAAAACGCCTCGATCTCGTCCATGAACGGATGAAGACAACTAGGGATCCTGTTGATGTCCTGCCACTCTCGGTTATACCAGTTGAACTGCTCGATCCCATCAGGGACCCCTCGCTTCTTCTTGAAACCGTACGGGTGTTTGTAGCCCGACCATCGACCGGTCTCGGGGTCGAACAGGAGTCGCTCCTTGTCCTCCTCGCTGATGTTGTTGTAGAGGTATTGAGCCAAGGAGAACTGGCGGTTCAACTGGGATGGGCGAGACAAACCAATGGTCAACTCCCTCGTACGCGCGGATCCAACTCGAGGGATATGTCGACTCGCTCACCTGCTCATAAGAGATCCCGTAGTTCTCGAGGAAGATGAACCCGTCATCCCTGATGGCGACCTTGACCTCCTCGACGAGCTCGGCGACGACCTTGGGGTCGTCCGAATCCATCTTGCTGAGGTCGATCGATTTGAGCGTCGCGAACCCATCGGTCTGCTTGGTGATCGGAGGCGGAACCCAGGCGGGGACCGTGGGTTTGCCAGCAGCGTCGGGCGAAGGAGGGTTGAAGAGAGGACTGGATGGCATGTTGCGAATGTGGATGTTGTGGGAGTGATGTACAAAGCAATGCTAGATGTGTCGCAACTACTCCATCTTGTGGACTGGCGATTTATATTCTCCCGTCCTAAGATAGGGGTAAGGAGGTTGCCCTTCAACATGGCCACATGCATAGCTCCTCCTCCTCCCTGCAAGGGTTATCGGGCTTCCTTGCGTGTTTGGCAAATGTCATGTCAGCAATCAATGCCGCTTTCCTTCAACAAGGTCCTCGAGATAGACTGCTCGAAGGTCACTTGATACGAACGACGGTCGTCGATCGGCCCGCTGGCTCCGGGATGTGTCCGAGGTGGCGCTTTTTACCGCGGAAAACTGAGCAACTCCCATGCTCTTAAACCGTCGTCCGGTGATCTGTAATCGAGCAGCTTGTAGCATTGCCACACCGCATGGGTTCAAAGGAAAGTATGCAGAATTCACCGAATCATCCTACATATACCGTCGAAAGGGGTATCGGTGTTTCTTTGACAGTCAGCGCGAGTACAAGTCCGTCATTCCTCTTCTACACTTCCGCAGTCAGCTTCTCGTCAACCCGCGCCAACATGTCCAGACAACTCATCTCTAGCGACAAATTCCCCACCAAGCCTCACAACTGTAGATCGTCCGCTTAGTCCTCGACGTGAGACTCACGCTGACACTTCGTGCGATCTTAGGCCCGGCTGTCAAGGTCCCCGGTTTAGTCTTCTGTGCTGGCCAGACGGCGACCGGCGAGATCAAGGCTGCCACCGTGAGTCGTCGAAAGCGAAGCCCGAGCGGAGAACAGATCTGACCATTGAATCTGTTCGACTTTGCAGAGGAAGGTCTTGCAAAACCTCAAAGAAGTCCTCGAGCTGTCCGGATCGTCCTTGGAGCAAGTCGTCAAGTACAACGGTGAGTCGACTTGGCCCTTTGCTTGCCTTGCTATCGTCTGACTCCGCTTGCGCGTTCCGGAACAACAGTCTACCTAGCCGACATGAAGGACTTTGCCGCTATGAACGAGGTCTACATCGAGGTACGTATCGTTTCTAGGTAGCAAGAATGTCGCTTACCGATCGCTCATCAAACGTCCCATTATCAGTTCCTGCCCCAACCTATGCCAGCGCGCTCGTGCCTGCAAGCCGTCGCTCCCGGCGAAGGCACCGTGATCGAGATCGAATGTGTCGCCCAGGTGTAGATGTTCTTGTACATAATATCGTTGTGACTGTATTCGATACTTGTTGCATGACTGGATGTTCATTCGTGCTGCCACTACGATCGACCATAGGGGAAGTCTGTTTCGCAGTCTCGACGCTTCGTGCAGTGATGTCTTGAATCATCTCAAGCGACTCGTCTGAGACAGCGAAAGTGAGTGCTCTCTCGCCAAGTACACGAGAGGAACACACATAGACGGATCGTCTGATCTCCCACGCCAGTACAGAGAACCACATCTTGTTCATTGATCGCCATATCTCCGAAGTCAAGCCCAACTCGACAAGCGCCCGAAGACGGTCTTGAATCGGTGGCAACACATCGAGCTGTGAGATGTACTATTTGAAGGAAGCTGAGACCACACAGGAAATAACAGTGATACCGCAGATTTGATGACGAGATCAGAGAACGCCAACCCTGGAACTCAACAAGTAATTTGTTTGTATATGTAGTGGAAATCGTTCGCAATGTACTCGATACAAGTAGAATCTTTCCAGGCGCTGATCAGGACCTCGCGATATCAAACTCGCTCATGTACCAATTCTGAATAGCTTTCGTATCTCCGGTGATAGCGACGGTATCGAACGTGTTCTTCGCATCCTTGGCGAGGGATCCATTGTTGACGAGCCGTCCCACCCATTTGCCGTGCTTCTTGGCGGCAGCGACGATCTTTTCGATGGCCGACTTGAAGACGGGTTCGTCGCCACGCGCGGGGACGTAGCCGAGCAGGGATTGTGCGAGATCGTTGGGCCCGATGAAGATGAGATCTGTCGTATGTCATAGCATCGTGATCAGTGATAATCTCAGCGGGGCGCAGATAACTACTTGGACTCACCAACACCGGGCACAGCGCAGATGGCATCAACGTTCTCGACGCCCGCCGCCGTCTCGATCTGGATCATCGTGATCAGAGTTTCGTTGGCGGACTTCATATACTCGGGTGTTGTAAGTCCATGGGCGATAGCTGGGAAAGCTGAACCTTGACCTCGAAGGCCTTGAGGAGGGAACTTGGAGTATGTGACAACCTGTTGTGCTTCCTCGGCAGTGTTGACCTGGGGTACCATCAGACCGCTGGCGAGAGGAGAACGATGGGTCAACGCGCTACACTGTACTTTCAGTCGCCAAGAGGCAAGAACTTACTGTGCGCCGGTATCCAGAGCTCGTTTGAGGATGTCAGATGAAGTGCCCCTGACTCGGATGATCGGGCTAACCCCCAGAGCCGAGATGGCAGCCACCGAGTTGTGCATCGAATCGTCGCCAATGTTTCCGTGCTCGCAATCGACGATGATACCCTAAGAGAATCGTCCACATGGATCAGCACCACGAACAGGGTATGAGAAGTAATCTCGTAGATACTCACGTCGACACCCGTGAGGGAAACGATTTGCGCCATGCGAACAGAGGAGATGGCCATGAAGGTCATGAGCGGAAACTCGCCCGACTTCAACTTGTTGAGCAGTCTCAATCGGGAGTTGGCGTTGGTGGTAGTGTGGGCAGTGTTGTAGGACATGATGAAAATTGAGGATTTGACGTTTGGGGTAGAAGAAGGCGACGATGATGGGAGTCTGAGAGAAATCAGAATGCTAGCCCTCGAGATGAATGGGCAAACCAATCCTACGCGCCATCATTCTTATACACTTGCCATCGCGTCGATTTGGGCCATGCGCGCTACTACTATCAGCCGACATCACTCTACAGAACTCTACCTAACGGGACAAGAGGCAAGAGATGGAGCTACTTACTCCTCCTTGAGGCTTCACTGGATCGCCGATGCCAGCGTCCGCTGCGCTGCATACGAGGCGCATGTAGAAGATACAATGCCGAGTATGAGATTTCCACGTGCCATTTTGGTACGATTTGATTTCCCCGTTCTTTTTGGTACCGTCGGGGGTCCTCTCCAGCAGTCCAGAGAGCTCCTCCTGCTCCCTCCCACAGTCTTGCAGACGATGCCATACAACCACTATCGCCATCCCCGTCGATAAGTGTTCCTTTCGGACCGTCACCGCATCTCACACTATCACAACATGGAGTCTCGCCTGGTCAGATGACCTACTCGCAATCGCAGGCCGTTATCGGTGCTCAAGCAGGCCAGCGAGCAGCGAAATCGGACACCACCAAGCCCGGTCCAATATCTATAAAGCAGTGGCATCGAAGCCGTCGAGATTTGAAGATGAAACATACAGTGCATATGTTCTGACTCACATCAAATCACCACCTTTCGATCTCCCAGCAACCAGACTATGGGCATCCACGAAGACAAGCATGAACTGGCCGATGCGACCTTGGAAGGAACTGTACAAGTCCTGGAAGCGCCTGTCGAGTCTGACCGACTGCCCGAGAGCCTCCGAGGATTGAGTCGGGATGAGCTGGAACTTGCCACGAAGAAGCTTCGTCGGAAGATGGATCTGACGATCTTGTGAGTCGGTCAGGGATGGGAGTGCTCTGTGAAGCATGGACTGACTTCGCCTATTCCCCTTCCGCTACGCGTAGACCGATCATCGGTATCCTCTACCTCCTCAACTATATCGACCGACAGAACTTGGCGGCTGCCAAGCTCCAAGGGATCATGGAAGACTTGAACTTGACGACGCAGGAGTTCGCCACTGCCATCTCGATCCTGTTCGGTGAGTTTTCGATTTCGGTCACCATGTTCCCGCTCATGCTGATCACCGTCACGTCCCGTTCACACAGTCGGTTACCTGCCCTTCCAGATCCCTTCCAACTTGATCATCAGTCGAATCCCCCGCCCTGGTCTCTGTGAGTTCATCTCTGCTATGCACCTGTTCCTATAAAGCACAACTGACTCACTTGTCCGTCCGCTCAACCAACAGACATCACTACGGCTTGCATGATCTGGGGAGCCATCTCTGCTTCTACTGCAGCGGTCAAGAACTATAATCAACTTCTGGCCGTTCGAATTTGTCTCGGAGTGGTTGAGGTGAGTCGAGGTATCGTGATCTGAGATCGATGACCCCTATCTGATGACCCCTATGTGATGACCCCTATCCGACGACCCCTGTCTGATGACTCCTATCTTTGGCCACCCTCATTACATTGTAGAGTGTATTCTTCCCTGGAGGTGAGTACATCTGTCTCGGAAGGACCTCGACCGGTACGAGACACTGATAGACCTGTGACCCCTCCCTCTTCTTAAACAGCGGTCTACTATCTGTCGGCTTGGTATCCCAAGGCAGAGCTAGGAAAGCGTCTGGCCGGATTGTACATCGCCCAGCAGTTTGGAAACGCTTTCGGCGGACTGTTTGCGGCTGCCGTGCTCTCGCTCGATGGTGCTCACGGGATCGCCGGGTGGCAGTGGTTGTTCATTATGTGAGTACGCCATTCTGGCTCTAACAAGAAGCCTCAAGCTTATCTCCAGGTGTGTCATCTTACAGTGAAGGGTCAGCGACCGTCGGTATCGGTGCTATCTGCGCCTTCCTCATGCCAGAATATCCTCACAATGCCAAGTTCCTCACACCCATCCAGCGGGACCTGGCCGTATGGAGGATCGAATCCGAATCCGGTGCCGCCGAGGGTACCGTCGAACCCAGCACCTGGCAACCGTTCTTGGCAGCCCTTAAGGATCCCAAGATCTGGATGCTCATCTTCATGAACATGATGTCACAATGCCAAGGATCCATCGCCAACTTTTTCCCCAGCATCGTGCAGTCTCTGGGGTATAACCGGACGATCAGCTTGTTGCTGACGGCCCCGCCTTACGTGCTGGCTGGAGGGGTTTACTACATGATCAGTTGGTACTCGGATGTGAGTCGGAGCCGTCGCGTCGTCTCTCATCTTTTGCAGCGCTGACAGACTGCCCACCGGGATGTCTCAGCGCAAAAACACGGTCTACCCCATCATCTTGGTGCTCATCAGCATCGCTACCACGACCTACTTGATCCCGATGGCCACGACCAACGTCGGCGCTCGGTACTTTGCCATGATGATCATGCCGTTCGCATCGGTCGGACCCCAGATCTTGCTTTACAAGACGATCAACCTGCACATCGCTCGGCCCACGACCAAACGAGCTGCCGCTACTGCACTCGTCAACTCCATCGGAGGCACGTCCAACATCTGGATGAGCTACCTCTACATCGGGGCTCCAAGGTACTTTCCGGCTTTTGGAACGCGTAAGCCGTGTCCCACTGTTGTTCCCCGTCTGATCGTCCTCTCGCTGACACTAGTCGATGGTCGACCTTGTAGTGATCGGTTGTGCCGCCATCTTCGCTGGAACCATCACCTTCTACCGCTGGTTCGTCCACAACGAGAACAAGAAGCTCGCTTCGGGGGATTACGAACAGTTGAGGTCTGTCAAGCGAGGCGGTGTGACCGAGGAGATGATCGAACTTGGTTGGAGGTACGAGATGTATTGAGAGATTCGAGAAGCGATCGAGCCTTCGCGAAAGGAAGGCATTGTTGTCGCTATTATAGCAATTGCTTTGTATACGCCTGATGGTTTCGCAAATAAGTTGTGCAAGGCTGTATCGCGCCACCAGAAATAAGATTACGATTTGTCTGCGATGCGTTGCAACACTTTTTGATAGTCTTCCTAGGGCGAAAGAGCGAGAGGCGGATCGCACTGTCATATCAGTTATCCTTAGACTCAAGGAGCTGGGGACATGCACCGTATCGTGATTCTGATCAACGGCGGCTGCAAATGGAGGAAGACAAGTCCCGTAAGGTTTCATTTTAGTGAGACAGAACCTGGACAGGGCGTCAAGCTGTCTTGGTTACGCAAGCTCTGTCACTACACGAGACGGGGGGAGGAAGCGACGGTGCAAAAGAATCTTGGATTCCGCCTCTCTCGGACGCAAGCGATTCCGTGTGCTGCTTCAACCTGTTCGCATGCGACTACACTATACGTGCGCACCGTATGGTCTGCCTCGACTCTCGTTCGTATACTCCACTTTCGTATAAAGTTGGAGAATTGCCAAGCAATCGTCGGTGATCGGAAGATCAAAAGTGGCTGGTTGAAGATCGTTCGGCGCGCGCGTGGTCGCGCGGATATAGCGGGCGAAACGTTATTAGCTGCTTATGTAATCGGCCGCCCGGGACTTACCTTCCCTCGAACACGCTGCTTTCGGTAACCCTCGGGCGACATGTGGCTTCAATGTAGATCAATGTCTCAACCCCTGCTTCCCCTCGCTCGCTTGAAACACGCACGGGAGGCAAAGAAAGTTCCGACTGCAGGAATTCCCGACCTCGGCCATCGGGTCCTCTCCCTCTCGCGCCAGACTCGGTTCCCCTAAGGTTCTATCCAGGAACGCCACTGCCGAGCCGACCGAGATTTAAGGTTATGCGTCGATCCGGACGAGACGACCCGCGCGATCAGCGACCAGAGGCCAAGAGATTGATGGGAGATCGGGAGATCCGCACAGTGTCAAACCGGGTGGTCGTTCGCCTAACGTATACGTCGACGCCTGTGAAAGGGGCTGATCTGACACAATGATCCTTCGCCCTTTCGGGCCCGACTTCTTCCCTCTATCGCTAATGCCGCAATGCCAGGGGCGAGGAGCGAACTGTTGGCCTCAATCCGGATTGATACATCGGTTAACCTTGATCGTCCTTGGGATTAGAAAGGCCAAACGACGACACATCTTCAACAGGGACGTGGTCCCCAACAAACCTTGACCTTGACCGTGCAGGAGGCTAATCAAAAGGCGTAGCGAACCTGTCTCTCGGTAGAAAATTTTCAGCCTTTCAGACGTTTCGATCCCGGTTGGATTAATGTCAGATCGAGAATGAGACGAGTGAGAGGTCCAGGATGCAGGTCATATAGATATATGAAGAGCGGATTTCGGCGGTCGCTTCCTGCGGACCACCTTCTTCCCTCCCGCGGCCCATACGGTCAAAGCCCTTCTTCGTCCTTACACTCTCCCTCACTTCGACCTAGACCCCTAAGCGCACACACTCTTTTCGACACACCGTCTCGCACGGCCACCATACAACACATCTCAGCCCATCCGACCACGCGCCTCGTCATCTTTACAGCCTCCCTCCACCTCCGCACAACATGCTCCGACTCTCCTCCTTCATCGCGACCGCCGCAATCCTCGCCACCGCCGCGCAAGCGCAGACCCAAACGCAGATCGTCAACTGTCAGAACTCGATCAACATTCCCAGTTACCAGGACGTGTACGATTACGATGTCAGCGATACGAGTTCGTTTACGGTCACGTATACGTACAACCCGCAGTGTGAGTGGTTGTCGTGTCTTGTGTCGCAGGAGCTTCGAGCAGCGAGGGGTATCAAAAGCTGATACGGGCCAACTCGTATTACTTTTCACACCGCTGAGCACAGACTGCGTGGGTGTTCCCGTACAAAGCATCCGATTCACGGATTACTCTTCGGGCGCTCAACAGGCTTGTACATCGTGAGTCCCGAGTACCCTGCGATATATCCGTTTCGTTCCTCAAGACGATCGCTGATAACCCTTCATCATACCATACCTGCTCTCGTCCATCGTAATCGTAATCAGCGCTCCATTCTCCTCGGCCGGAACGTACACTTCGACGTGTCCCGTCACGAAAGGTTCGATGGCTGCGACTGCCCTAGCAGCTGGACCGGACGGGAGTGATTTCTCCACAACCTTGAGGGTGAGTCGAGATATTGCTAACAGATGAAGTGCGCGAACGAGCAAGGCCCCATAAGCTGATTCTTAGAGCGGTTCATTTTGCTCGCACGTTACTATGACAGTTCGGTGTCAGGCCTACGCTCTACGTCAGGGAAGACATTTTCAGTATCGTAGGATCCGACGCTAGGACGACCATGGTCACTTCCACCACCGCTGCTACTTCCACCACTGCCGCTGCTACGACCACAACAGCCGTAACCTCGACGATCACCTCTCCCCCTTCTTCCCCCTCGGAAATGAAGAGGAAACGTCGAGCTCTGACGGCTTCCCAGGTCGACTTGTCTTCGATGATCTGTGATGCTGGTTACACCGCCTGTCCCTTGAAGACCAAGACCGGCTGGCTGTCTAGGTGCATCGACACGACGAGCGAACTGTACGCTTGTGGAGGTTGTCCCGGGTTGCCAGGAACTGCGGATTGCACCGAGCTCGTTGGGGTGGCTGATGTTCAGTGTGTGAAGAGCACTTGTCAGAGTGAGTCGAGCGCGCGAGGCATGGGCGTTATCGAATGCCGAGTTGAGCTGATAGTCATGCCCTGCTCCGTGTCGTAGTCGAACGATGTGATCGCGCTCACAAGTTGTCGGCCGATGGGAAGACCTGCGTACCAAAGGGCGTTGCTGGCCGTCGAAGGGGTCTCTACTAGGTTTTGCCCGGGATGGCGTAACCCAACCAGACAGTTTCCGAGGAGTTTCCGACTTTATTTTTTTTCCTTTTCGATTTTGGGTTTCATCTCGGCATTTCTTTTGGGTTTAGGTATTGACTTGCTGGTCGTGAACAAGACATTTGAATACCAATCTGTTCTAGAAGCTAGAAGTATAGATCATAATATGGAAATCTATGGGTTACGCATACGGGAGTTAGCTAGATTACTCGTAGCGGTTAATATCTGAATCAATGAGATGGACACCTTCGCGATCATCGACTACTGGAGATGTTTTCATCGTTCGCATTATTTGTTACGGTCGTGTCCTAGACTTCGCTCCTTCTCCGCGTCCGGATACTCGCTGTCCGAATCTTCAAGTCACTTTGAAGAGCCCAAGTCACGAGTCGGGATCGTCCTGCAAGAATGCGAAAACGGAGTCCTTTGCGCTGGGCTAGCGCTAATGATATATGTATCGGCAAAGGGAGAGTCCCGTCGTTAAACATTGTCGTCGAAGGATAAGTCGGCTTTATCTTAGTCTCTCTGTGTCGCTGGTAGAGCTCCTGGGAATCGGAAGGGTCATCTGTCGTCGTCTAGTCGATAAGCTTGTCAAAGTCCATCATGCAGCATGAAGATGATGCTGATGACGTTGACAACGAGAATGACCATGGCAGATTGAATGTGATATGCTATCGTCTCGATTGAGTTGGGGCCGATTTTCTTGGCTTCCCGAGACAAAGCGTATGTAACGGACCCCATGTCGTCGTCATACAGTACGAGTCTTCGATAGTGGGACAGTCGAGTCGCGAATCCGGTCAGGTTTTTCGCCGGGGCGGATAAGAACAATATGATTCGAATCAAGCAACGTATTGTAGTACAAAGCGAGAACACGGTCGTATATGCAAAAGATCGTTGTGGGACATCATCTAACCCCACATGCTGTATGCATTAGACGCCCCCTGAAACGACGGATTCATGCTGTAGCCGGTGTAGCCGGTGTAGCTTGGACGTCCGCTTGGATCTAAGTTATTGGAGTGGGAGCCTTCTGGTTCGCTGGTGTCGCCCATGTCGCTCAATGAGTCATCTGAGTCATTGTCTGCGTTCATGAACTGGTAGTCGGCCTCAGGCAGATTGACCGTGTATTTCTGCAAGCCGAAAAACCAAACAATTGTGCCTGAGTGACCTGCAGCAGACTGAGGGGCTTTGGGGGTGGACCCTTCTGTCACTGTGATTTCCAAAGCTATCTTCACCTCGATCGGAGACGAATCGAGGACTGTGGTTGCAAACAAGACCTTCACTGTATGATGATATTTGCTCGGCAGACCTTGTTCTGCTTTCTTCCTAAGAGCATTTCTCCTTGATTCGCTCTCTTTGTTGGACAGCACTTGTCTGGCCTTCTTCCCAAAATCTTCCCTGAACTCTGCACCATTGACACCCTCCAAAATCTCCCTAAGCTCGGCGATCTCGTCCTGGATGATGCTGTTCATCTTTTCCGTCAATTTGGGCCAAGTGTCTTTATCAATTTCCCCCCGCCAATCAGTCTTTCTTTGGAATTTGATCTCTTCAAACTCAAGCAACTTAAGAACTGGTCGGGACTGGGGCTCTTCTATCGTCGAATGCAAGTATATCAGCAATGCAATAGATGACATATTCCGTTGGGGGGTAACTTACTTCCTTGAGGCATTGCTTGGGTATCGGTGGACATGATGAAGATTGGGTAGAGCGGAGTCACGTATTGAGGAAGTCGTTTGTGTTTTGTGTGAAGAGATAGGAAAAACGCAAATGGAGGAAGGGGGATGGCAATCATTGTCCCTCTTCCAATTGAGTATATATATGCCTCTCCTGTGCTTACACAGTACATGAGGCCAGGCGGTGTCAAATGGAGAAGCATCACAAAGGAGTGACAAACTGTGTCAGGTGACGAGCTGCCTTGCAGGACTCGCTATCTGTCTGCAGGCGGTCTCGCAGCATGACGTGCTAGCCCCTGCGCCATGAAACACGATAACAAAGGAGTCAAGATCGATTAGCACGAGATCGTCATCGACGTCCTCCTGGTCAACCAGCTGAGGACGGCATCAGGGGCGGACGCCGCGATCAGGTGAGCTCACCATCCGAAAGGCCTGCGAGGTATCACCGATGCGGCACTGAGACAGAGTCACTGACACTGTGGTGTGCAATTGGCCGCGGTCTCGACAGTCGTCTCAGGTTTCAGTGCCCTAGCTTGCGATAGCGACGACAAAATCAATATCATACAACGTCAACCATGACGATAATATAGAACCGACAAACGACCAGCCCACACCCTTCAAACGTCCTCCCTGATCAACCCCTTGCCTCCTCGTCTTCCCAGCACATCCCCCAACCCACCCGCACCCCCCGGACTTCCGCCCAACATCATCCTCTCCTGTTCCCTCACGTACGCCCCCTTGGTATCCTGCTTTCCAAACTTTTCCCTCTCACGCGCCTCGTCCGCTTCTCGTCGTTCTTGTTCCAGACGGCGAGCTTCCAGCGTGGCTAGTCGGGAGGTCGTCGCGGATTCGGCGTCGGCGGCCATCTGAGCTAGACGGGCCGCTCGGTCCGAGGATGGGTTGGTTGTAGAGGTTGTGGCGGACGAGCCAGAAAGTTGAGCGGGTGTAGGTTTGATATCGATCGGCGCGTTGGGGATGTTGGCAAGTCGAGCCGGGTGGATATGTGCCGGAGGAGCCGAGGGCCGGGAAGACGCTCGGTCGTCCGCCCGACCGTTTCCACCGACGTTGCTATGACGATCCCGATCTGTCCGCCCGCCACCGCGCCCGTCCCTGGACCTCGATCTCGACCTGCTCCCTCCTCGTCGATACGGTACAGGTCCTGAACGATCCCGTTCGTCCCGCCCATAGCCTCCATACGCACTCCCACGCTGACGATGATCCTGATCACGAGAATCGTATTTCGAGGCGTACGACCGGTCCCGTGCGTCTCGATCCCGATCGTCTCGACGGGGAGGGGAACGTGATCTCGAACGCGGTCGCTCGGAACGTCGATGTTCATACCGATCGCGCTCGTCCGACCGCGAACCGTGGTCGTCGTCCGAATAACGGGATCGGCCGTCATGTCGATCGTGATGATGATGGTGATGACGGGAATGTTTTTCTTCCTTCTTGGCGGCCTTCTTCTCCTACACACCAGACCGCGAGCAGTATCAGCACCAGGACGACGGGACGTTAGCTTTCTCCGTATCGTCCCGTTCCTTCGAGACTCGGCCTCTTAAAGCAGACGTAGACGCACCTCCTTCTCCCTCCTCTTCCTCTCCCGCTTCTCCTCCTTGCTCTCCCCCTTCTGCCTCTTCATCTCTTTCACCTGCCTCCTCAACGCAGGATCGTTGAGCATGGCCTGATAAGCCACCTGTTCTTGCCGCTTGATCGCCAACATGGGGTCTTCCCTGATCTTGGAGGCGAGGTCGAGGGCGTCGTTGGCGGATTGGACGGCTTGGAATTTTTCCGAGGTGGCGCCGATCTGCCGGGGGGGTTGGTCGTCGGGTGGTGTAAGTATGTAGTCGGTGTGGTAATCATGGTGTAAGGGTCAGAGATGCATGCCGAATATGGAAAGAAAGAATGACAGGCAAGTTAGCGGGGTAAGGTGTACTTGTCAACAATATCACTCCGAGCGGGACGTCCAGAAATAACAAGAATCAACCTGTCTACTCACATTCTCCTCATTCAACTTCAACACCTCATCCACCCTCTTCTTCCCCAACAAATAATCCTCCATCTGCCTCTCTCCCAACTTGGCCCCTCCCAACGCGCCCCCATCCGCAGTAGCCGGTGACGCATACATCCAATCTAGTTTCTCCACGCGTTTCCGACCGGTAGATTCTTCTTGCAGACGTTGAAGTTCGAGGAGTTGTCGTTCTTCTTCTATTTCTTTCCGGAGCTGGTCTAGTTTCTTCTTCTCTTCGTGCTGTTTGTGTTATGTCATTTGAAAGAGAGATTTTGAGAGTTGTTTTAGTATTTCTGGTAGGACTTCATGCTGTCGAACAAAGAAACCTGGAAGAACAAGAAGAAGAAAAGAGCGGGTACTTACGGCCTTCTTCTCGACCTCCCATACCCTCGCCTGGTTGGACAAGAGCACGGGGTGCCATGACTTTTTCCTGCGTCACCACCCAGCGCCGCAGACAACGACCGTATCGCCGCAGCATAGACGACCGTCGACCGTATCGATAAAACAGAGACCCAGACGACGAGTATGATGACGACGATGAAGAAGAAGACGACGACGATGACGACGACGATATTGATGGCAAGCAGGAAAAAGGATCGGAATAGGCACGAGAAGAGCAAGAATCGAGTCAGCCATCCCGAAAAGACCCAGACATTGACCGCTCAACGCGCCCGGACCAGAACAAGCTTGTGCTTACATATTCAGATCACCGCCACCCATCTTGACTGATTATCTCCTTATTTCTATCTGTTATCTGGTATCTGTTCTTGTCTTGATTGGAGGTGGCCCGTGGGAGTTTGAAGTTGGAGACGAGGAGAGGCGAAGGTTCTGGTCTGGTTTGGTTTACGATTTGATCTGTTGATGGTCCTTTCTTTGCGTTTTCGTTGAAGGATTCGGGAAAGAGAAGCAGGGATTTTGATACGAACTACTCTTGTCAGACACAATATGTCGAGTGAGGTAGTAAGGAGTCGTTGTTCTGGTTGTCCAGTCGATCATAGGATCCCGATGTGAGTGTTGGTAGATCTAGACGGTTAGGTGTACTTGATGTGATGGCGAGAGGGGGAGCGGACATGAAGCTATTTTCTTAACGTTGCCCACGTAATAGCATGACGGCATATAACGTAAGAAACGCGGACATTGACCCATCTCTGCCCGGTCCCACGTCACCCTAAGCACCTCCCCCTTTGACAACTAGCAACAACTGCTAACCACGACGACCATGACCTACCTACTCGTCCATCGACCTACTACACTCTGTGTTACGTTTAGACATAGCCAGATAGAACAAGAGCGGACAAGACATGCGCTGGTCAACCATCTTCACCGCGGCGTGTTCCCTGCTCGCCCTCGGGGCGTCCGCCATCGACATCGAGGTCAAGGATATCAAGGTGCTCTTGACCACGGCTACGGGGGGGTCTGATAAGACGTTCAAGTGAGTCCGGGTTCTTATTGTAGCTTTATGTCTATCTCTATCTCTGGTTCTTCCTTTCGAAATGTCCCTGACTGAACGCGGATAACCACCTCTTTTCTGTTCTTCTCTTTTCTGTTCATCTCTGTTCTGCTATATTCGTCCCCCCCTCCCCCCTCACGAACTGTCGATCAGACTCCAGCCGAACCGACCTTTAGACAAACCCATCGACCTGGAGACGGATAGTATTCTTCGCTTGACCTTTACCACCTCGACTCCGCCGCCGAAGTATGCGCATCTAGAGTTCAAAGAAAAGGATACGAATACGGGTGTTATTGCAGTGAGGGGCAAGAGCTGGATCTACGAAGTTCCCATCAAGCCATCAGACGGCAAAGCGCGGTTCGACCTCAAATCCACTCAACTCCCTGCAGGGCTCCGGAGGTCTTCCGGCCGCCTCGCCCTCTCCCTGACGCTCTCTTCACCCTCCACTTCCTCTTCTTCGGCTTCTTCCTCCGGTTCTTCTTCTCCTTCCTACTACTCGTCGGACCTCCTCACCCTCTCCCTTCCTTCCAAACGTCTCCTCCCACCCCTTCCTCACCGACACGCACTCTCCACTAAGGCTGAGCTCGACCCGGCGTTTAGGCCGCAAGAAGAGATCCTGTGGACCTTTTCGACGGGGGAAAAACAGGTCGGATGGGTTGTAGGCCTGTTGGGGAGTTTGGTGTTGTTGGTACAGGCGGGTTGGGTGGGAGGTTTGGTGAGTTTTTATGGTTTGGGTTCGATTTCGAGTCGGTCGAGGTTTCGAGGTTTGAGGGTCTCGGGGTGGTTCGGTTTGGCTCTGTGCTGCGGTGTTGTGGAGAATCGTTTGATTCGGTGTGACACCGTGTGGAGGAGCCGGTGTTGGGTTGTTGATCAGGACGAGCGTCCGTTCTCGTCGCGTCTTTAAATGGTGTCTTGAGCACGATCATAAGCGTGATTGCGTCAGTTCTGCTCGTCACCTTATGCTTATGGAGGCGGGGTCGGGTTTAGGTTTTGGGAAGGGGTCGTGCTCGTCTCGCTTGATCGTGTTCTGTGATAAGACCGCAAGTGACTGATTTTGCGTTTTGACTTTGCTCTCGATCTCGATCTTGTTTTCGTTATCCATCATCATGTCACCTGATCGCTCTCATACCTCGCCTTTGAACGAAATCTACCCCTCGCCATCATTCGGCCTCGTTTTCGATGTCGGTGACAATGCAAACACGGGAACTCGCCTTGTTCGGATTGACACCTCTTTCCGGCACGGCCTCACCATGTTACACTACCCTGCCTCTCTGCGACGAATCTGGCCTGCATCGGCTCTTTCTCCTCGGTGACGACTCGAAAATCGGCTTGTCGCGGACATACGAAACTCCCACTCGGTTAAACCAACAACAGATCTCCAACCTCCTCTCTGGCAGGAAGACCCCGAGTCCGACCCGGAACGGATATTCCTTCCTCCTCACCCTTTTGGGGCTCGAGGGTCTAATCGTCAAGTATTGGATCAATGGGAGGATCTATACCGTCAGTACAGTAAAATCCAGCCGTCCAACCTCGTGGGATTGCTAATTTCAAAGTTTTTGCGTTCAACTTGACGACGAGCAGTTCTTGCCGCCCTTCCTCGGACTCGCCCTCGTCTCGGCGTACATCGGCAAGAACGCGTTGAGGGACGTCCAGGTTGATCGATTGGCCAGCAGGTTGAGAGCTTAGAGATCAAGATCAAGGACGGTCAGCTGAGAATCGACCTCTCTGTATTCTCAAGCGTCGAGACAGGGAATATATATGCGATGATATAGAATACACGCATAGCTACTTGAGTGACTTGGCGGCGAGCCTATACCAAAGGATAAAACCGGCGGGTATGAACGAGTTCAGGGAGGAGGCGAGGATCAGGAAGAAAGGCAGCGCGGCCGTGACTCAAATCCTAAGGATGGGTAAATCAGCTTAGCCCCCAAAACCAAAGCGTTCCTGGGTGATTCTAGACGGTACTAGGCGATACGGAGCTCGTCCATTCGTGGTCAATGGGGAAGAGAAGAACAGGTTGCCGGTTGCTTTTCCAGTTCTCGTGTGAGAGTGCGCCCTTGTACCCTCAATGAAGCATGTCCTGAAAAATGAGCTTGACTTCGTAAGACAGATCTTCGATATGGCATGGTCAAATCTATGCTGCAAAAATAAAGCTCACATGTGAACCGGACCGCCCCTTCGTCTTCTTCTACACCCCCTTCACCATCCTCCATTGCGCTCACGAGAGGATATTTGAGATGCTTTGACTGAGAAGCGACGGCTCGAACCTGCACATGGTCGAGAAGCGATCGATTTCGGAACCAGGAGACGGTCTGGACTTGACCATCTCCCTTGTCATCGTTCCCGGCTCTCGACCTCATTCGTCGTCGTTCCCGGCTTTCGGAGTCTCTCGCTTCCTCGGATCTACAGGCCCATCCACGAGCTGGCATATCATAAATCGCTGACAAAGTGTATGGTCTACACGCAAACCTCGCTGTCCAGCCCTATATGTGCGGATGGGTTGAGAGACTCCTCCCAGGTTACGACTGGATGGTTAGGCTATTCATAGTTCTAGTCATGCCGATCTATACCTGCCTGGATAGCTTCCTTGGAGACGACTGCAAGGATGCGCTTCATGTCATCAAGAAAAGACTGGAATGCTTGTACGGGTTCCTTCAAACAGGCTATGTCTACTGTGATCTGAAGTGGGGAAATATCATGGCTTCTGTCTAACGACAACCTGTACGGCTTGCCCGTCGCTATCCTCGTTGTCCGACAGCACTCGTGGCCGCCTTCGTTTCCGTACAGGCTGGGTGTCTGGGAACAGCAGGTCCTCCTCTCAATTATCTGGAACTTGTTCCTCCTCGTTGTTGTTGGGGTTGAAGAGAGACATGGTTAGAGAATGATGATGCCTAATGATGATGTCGAGAAGCTGAGAAGCATACGACTGGCCAACTGGTTTTATTTATGAATATCAGCGATTTGGACCACGGCTTCCTTTCGTTCCCCACCCCACCACCTTCCTAACTCGGGAGATACAGAAGACCCAGCATGGCTATCTATTCGAGAGCGTCGCTCACTCGATGACTATCACCTGTGTTGCGCCTCCACTCATCACCTGTGTTGGCCCACAACACATTATCGAACTGCTAGATCCCTGGGCCAGAGCGAGGGCGACCGGCGGCACCTTTCTGCCTCTGAAGCAGAAGCTGTCAATCGATCCGACAGGGCTCCATGTCAGATAAAGGATTCAAGGATGGGCTTCATGCCAAATTGAAGGATCAATTATCGTCGGTACAGGATCAATTGTTGTCGGTACCAAGGGTGACACCTAGTTCAGGGTTACATATCTGGGGCTTCGGTCTAGAGAGTCGTTCCGAGCACTCGGCGATGATCACCTGTGTTGGGCCACAACACATCATAGAACGGCTAGAGCTCTGGGCATTTGTGGCTTCGAGTTAGAAGCACCCGATCGACCCCACCCGCATCCACGTAAGATGGCAAAAGGGTCTTTCCATGGTCGCATTGCCATTCTCCCGGTGAACGCTAGGCCATCGGTGCCGTCGATGCCGAACCTCTTATACTTCAGTCTGCTCATCGACGGGACGGCTCGGAAGCTGGCTCTTACAGCGGCTGCGTCGCACCGACTTGGATCGAGCCACTTGTTCGGCAGCGCGAAACGAACGGCATGTACAGATCTCACACACCACATGACCATCCGGTGCGCATCGAGGTGAGATACAAAGACGAGGGAATCATCTACGATTCTTTCGTGCCCGGTTCCGCGGCTTCGACCTGTCTGCCAGCCTGTGCATCGAGCAGCGACATGATCCGATCGAGCATCTCGCCCTGACGTTCCGTCACCTGTGTCAGGCGTTCTATGTGACTCAACAAGACCTGCAGGTGTCGAGATCGTATCGCAGCGTGAGCCAAATGGTTTCGGAACAGACATGGCGTGGCGAGCAAGGCTTACCGACTGGTTCAAGGCCAACTTGGCGTTGGAGAGATCCCTAGCTGCTGGCGTCCCCACCGCTGCTGGTCCACCGGAATTGACAGCGGGCGCTCTCTTCTGACCCTGTGCGCTCGTCGATCGGGTATACGCATCCCCGCCGCTCATACTGACGTCCGTAACGGCGGTACGTAACGATGGCTCGCCCGAAGGCAAGGCGTCGTACTGGTTCCCGCCCGATACGATGCCTCGGTCCGCCAACCGGAACGTACTGGATGGCGGTGACGAGGGTGTTTCGGGACGATGAGGCGTGGACATGGCGCCGGGTCCTGGCAGAGCATTGGCTTCTCGATCGAGCGAGCTACGGACACTTGCGGCCTTGACCTGTTGCGCGGGGTCAGAGTGCGTTGAGAGATACGGTCGCTTGACAAATACCGACCAGGAAAACTCACAGGAACGTTCAATTGATGCTGCATGGCATCGAACACGATTGCGAAATTACGTCCAAGCACGAAACTAGGCAGGGCGATCAGGAGCAACCCAAAGACCAACAGCGGTACGGTGAACAGTCGGCCGAGCACGGATCGAGGGATGATCTCGCCATAGCCCACGGTCGTGATGGCTGACAGAGTGCAGCCAGTTGTCAGATTGTGTGCTGCGGGCGGGCGACGTGTTGACAGATGCAGCCGCACTCACTAACAAGCACGAACCAAGCAGCCGAGGGTATCGACTCGAAAGCAGACGGATCGCCTGGCGAGGTCACAAATCACCTTGCAAGTCAGCATCTGGCCCGCTCAACCTGGGTGTTCAAATCTTCATGCTCACCGTCTGCCGTGACGAAAGTCCCCAAATTGCTGTCCCAAACCCCACGCTCGACAAAGTAGATCAAGGTCGAAAAGATGACCAGGGCCATGACGAGGAAGAACGAGAGGGCGAACAGGGCGTCTTTCGATCGGTGCACCGCGATGTACATGACTTCGATCGTGCTGCAGAAGCAGGAGCGAGGGATATCAGCCTAGGCGCGAGGGTAAGTGTGGGGGGCTAGCGGTACTCACAAGAGCATCTGATTCTGATACTTGAAAGCCCGAAACACTCGTAGCAGACGTAACGTTCGTAAGATGGAGAATCGAAACAAGATCGTCTGACAAGCACAGCCTGCAGATCAGCATGACACGGTCACGAAATCATCACTCCCTCTATGGTAAGCTCACCGTGTCTTCCTGTAACGCGACCTCGATGTAGAACGGCAAGATGGCGAGCAGGTCGACAATGGCGAAGAAGGCTACGGATAAGTTCCGGCGATCGACGTTTGGCGCGGGTCAGCTTGACGACTACAGAAGACCAAAGCCGGAAAGTGGGGCAACCTACAAGTCGACCAGTTCCAGAGCATCCGGAGGGAATCGCTATGAGCCACGAACTGTTAGTCGGCAGAAAGGGAAGAGTGATATAGGATCAGTACTCCGTATGTCATAACACGCGTCCATATCGCAACATATGTCATGGTGTGGTACGGTACTCACCCTAGCGATGTACCTATACACAAGCCGAGCAATAACGTCATCAACGTCAAGCAACGAGTCTCTCGATTGTCGCAAAGTTGGGGCGGTGCTCACTCTACTGTAAAGAGGACGACGATCATGACGTCGAGTCCAAAAAGAGCTTTCCCGGCACCCGGATTCGTATGGAAAGACGGTAAGGTGGAGAGGATCGTCAAGACGGCGCTATCACATCCATGATCAAGATAAATGTTAGCGATAACAGTTCATCAGACTCAAATATGCTCCTACTCGGAGGAAACGATCCCATTTACAATTCTGACTCACCTAAACAAGATCCCGCCCGTCGACATGACATGAATAGTAAAAGCCTCCCTACTACTCCCCGGTTCTTCCATCAACAAGAAAAGACGTCTCTTCCAATCCCTCCCCATCCCCTGGGCTACGAGGTAATTATCCTCTCCCTCAGCATTGAGGCCTAACATGCCTCCAAAATCCGGCAACTCGACTGTCTCCGTCGTCGTCCCATTATGGTTGTGGTTATAGAGATGGTGGTCGTCAGGGTTCTCGTGAAGAAAGAGGTCGTGATGCGCAGGGTTGGAAGGGATTTGCACGCCAGAGAGAGGGTAGCCTCGAGGTGTGTGAGGTGTATGGGGCTCGGAGGGTCGTTTATTATGTCTTCTCCGAAAGGGAGAATGCACCGAAGCTTGAAAGTTGCTACCCTGCGGTGAAGGTTCGTGATTCACGGTATTAGGAGGTTGATTCCCATCGAACAAGATCGAATGGTTGCCATGTAACGTGAAGATCTTCTTGGCATTATTCGGACCGCTCGTCCGCCGAATTGAAGATCCAGATGCTCTAGATTTATGGGTTGATGTGGTAGCCGTCGGGGTGGTCGGAGAGAACGGTATTGAGGAAGGCCCGGCTTCTGCCATCTGGGGGAGTTCGTACTCTTCCGCTGCGTTCGTGTCGATAGGGTTGATGGCCATGGTGATCGAAGTCAAAGGTGCTTTACCAGCTAGCGAAGCCTATCGAGCTGAGCCTCCGATCAAATGCCGGTGAAGTGCACAACGAGACCGGAGTATGGGATGGCGGTCCTGATGTTGGAGGAGATATCACCCTGATCAGAGAAGAGAAGAGGACGAGCTTGTCGTCGAGCGCGATGGTGGTCGAGCTACTTTTGACGGTCCGTCCGGTCGTAATCCGCGCTCCTACTTCCAGGCCAGATTCGGAATGCACTCAAGGGCAGACAATGTACCAACAGAATGGATAAGGCCAAGGTGAAGATCATGATAGGGCCGTTAGATTGATTAGATTCGACCAAAAGTGGTCGGTCATTAAGATGTTGGTCTAAGGGATTTGCATCCGCTAATCAATCGCGCCAACGTTGTTGTTAAACACAAGTTTCAAGGTTATCGCGACGGTGTACTTCAAGCTTCATGACCAAGGGGGTGCTCTGTCTTACCGGTGTCAGCTAACTGGGAGTCTCGACGAAGACCTAGTACTATGTACCGGTCGGTGAGCCCGTATCTCCCGATGAGCAGGTGCGTGGCCACTCCTCGGGCGGGGCGAGCGGTAGCCTATGTAAGACGAAGCGCTGATGGTAGCGCTAATCCCAAATCCCGTTCTCAGTCGAGAATCTATGGACGTAGAGAGGAGAGGAGGAATCGAGTTTTGGCGCTCTTGCGCTTGTTCCGCTCGACTCCATTCTTGTCGTTGCGTTTGAAATGGAAACAGCTATCAAGACCATCAGAAGTCGTATGATACCAACACCATGATTATGTGTCGCGGAAGCATGATGTCGCGACAGAATGTCACCTCATCACCTGACGTGCAATGCTACTCCTTTGTGATGCTTCTCCGTCAAGTGACTCCTTGCCCTCCAGCTGGGCCAAAAGGGTATATATATCCGACCATGAAATAGGGGATGGATGCCATCCCCTTTCTCCGTTCGCTTCCTTCCTATTTCTTCACAGGAACACCAAACACATAGACAAATAAACAACTTCCCTCACTTTGTTACTTTACTCGAGCTCTTATCATGTCCACCAAGCCTCAAGCGATCCCGAAAGAAGGTGAGGACATGAAATGAACATGATGTCGTCTGTATTGCTTAGTTTCTTCATCAGAGAAGCGCCGTTTCCGACCGGTTCTTGTATTTGAAACCCTCCTGCACGTTCACCAGAACCATCGGCTGTGGGACAATCATAAAGACACTTGGTCAGACCTCACACAGTTGATGGAGGGGATCATCGAGCCCGAAGTAGAAGCACTTGCTGGGATCCTGAAGGGTATCCACGGCGCCTACACAGAGGCAGAGTACCGAGATCAGTACAACAAGGTACTTTCCGCACGTCAGAAGAAGATGAGGACGGATGCACTGACAGAGAAGGCCAGAAAGTCTCTGGAAGAATTTCTTCCAATCGACGGCAGTCGTACCGCAGAGGTTCTGTGGTCGATGATCTCTGACATCCCTGTCCTTTCTTCAAGTTTCATTGCGGTGACGATAGGCATGAAGGTTGGAGAGTATGGGAAGTTTACCCTCAAAGATGTTCGATTTGTCTGCTCGCAAAGATACACGTTCTCCCAGCAGTGGCTGACTCCTGCCCAGCAGCCTTTAGGGAGAGGAGGCGACGACAATCGTTCGAACTGCACGGACAACACCAGCGAACAAGCTTCCAGCCCTGATCACTCGGCGCAAAGTGAAGGCCAGAGCTTCAGCGACTTCAGCAATGTGACCGATTTTGGGGACAATGTCGACCCGCAGCAGCGTATGACATACCCATCCTACACTTCAGGTGCCTGATGGGTCCACACTCTGATCTCAACGCAATGAGACCGTCTCCGCAAGGGAACCGTCTCCGCAACCCGTTTTGACCCATGTCCTTGCGTACTCAGTTGTCATGACATGTTGTAACATATGCCCCATAGATATGTACACTATAGAATCCATTCTCCTTGCAAGACACAAGATTTCCAGCAGGCTGTCATCAGTCAGCACACAAAGCTCAATCGTGAAATATTTTAAAGGCAATATCATGTGGTCTCATCTCATTCGAGTCGTTCTCTCGATACCCTCTGTGCAGGTGCCAGCCCAGAAGAAAGCGCTCTCCAATCAGCCCTGGTACGCTTCTTGATGTACGGAACTCGTGGGATGTGGCAAGAGGTCACATGTCACGCTGCGACACTATCAGACACCATCCCATGGACAGTGAGGTCACGACATCACTGAAGCATATCATCTGACATAGAATGCTACTCCTTTGAGATGCTTCCCCTCCTGGATGATACAACCCCTTACCCTCTGGCCGGCAACAAGGGCGCATACATATACCCCATGTGTATCTATACCTTCTGATCCTCAATCAGACAAGCGGAATTTATATCATATACATGCGTCCCCCTTTGTACCATGCAAGCTGACAACCAGAAAACTACCGAAGCGCATGAATTGTCTAGCCGATGTTGGCTATTCTCCTGATGCTGATAGCGCCATCACCCACACCAAATTGAGCCCAAGTTTCGACCGGTTTTCTCGTTTCTCCCTGAACCCAACTTGTCTGGCCCTCTCGGTGGCCTAAAGTTTGATTCATGGGGAAAACTCAACAACGAGATGGACAAACTCATCAAGAAAGAGTTGGCTGCATTGGTTTCGAAGTTACAAAGCATCAATGGTGTATTTACAGAGGACAGCTACAGGGAAAGGTGCGACGAGCTGTTCTCCCAAAGCTTGAGGGATACCAGGGCAGCGGCACTCGCAGAAGCTGGCAGGAAAGCCGCGAAGAAATTGAGCGGTATGAGAAATTCGGTCACCGTCACACGCCCCCAGGTCACTGTCGGTCCTTTCCCTACCAAGTTTAGCAACCTTGGTGTCGGAATCGACGTGAGCATTTGCAAGCGGGGCTACAAGAACTGTGTCTCTTCATGCGTCTTTACAGGCGAACAAGAGTACTCCGTTGAGAGACGCGCGCTCGAACACACTGAGCGAAACCTCGATGATGTTGATCAGCCCATGGGATCGGACGACGACCAACATGATGGGGTCTCCCAGGAAACGAGCAGCACTAACAAAACTGGCTCGTACTTGTCCTCAAAGCAAACCAAGCAGAGCTCCAACGACGACGGCACCAGCGTCAGTGCCCAAACCCCCGAGGGGCGACAATCAATGTCCGATGTGAGGCGATAATCGCCTGAAGGAGCCTTGGAGTTCCGCTTGAGATGGGGAAATCAATGCGCTTGACCTGTTACAAGCTAGTATCTTTCCAATGTGACATTTTGTATATCGCTAAATGCGCCGTAGAAATATTCTGCATCGACCGGCTCAGATCTAAGCGCGAGTTCCAGCGCTGCTCGACTCCCTTGACTACATAATAGGCGGGACCCCGGTCGGTGCAAGCAGCGAGTCCGTGCAGATTTCAGGTTTGGGTCGCAGATACCGCCCCGTCTTACTGTATCTAACCTCGTGGTAATAGCTAAGAAACGGGTAGTTTCAGTGAGTCAAGGGGATCCAGAACTCGAGGGTGCAAGAAGTTTCGGATGGCGCGCGGGCGCAGCGCCTCGATCTGCTGCGACGCCTGTGAATAACAAACATGAACGCTGACCTCAACTATTCCGCCGCTCGTCGCGGTGTTGCTGCATATTTTAACACAGATCTCCCCAGTACCATGCGATCCTCATATGCTGGTGGTCCCAGCGGTGTATGTCAGCCAAGCGGCGACGGATACTACTCTAGCTGTACGCATACACCCCTACCTCCTTGTAGACTGTAGCGGCATAGCCGAGGGACCGGCTGATGTCGACTTGGTTGCACCCGAAGCTCTCAATTCTACGACCTCGGAACGTCATTCCAGGCCATGCCAGGCAAGTACGATCGTCTATCATTATAAGATGCGTGCGTTTCTCTGGCCGTCTTGGCTTGTACAAGTGTCGTGTATCCTCTATATATCTTTGCGCGACTGCGCTGATCATGTGTAATAGTGTATAATGAACTCAGACTTCCATGCTCTCGTGGTAGACGAAATCCATGGACCGTCGGTTCGGTGCGACCAACCTCGCCCACTCGAGGTAGAGCCTCGACATGTATGCGGCCATGTCGACCCGTCTCCAGTGGGTCTTTGCCCACTTCTGTCCCTCCTTGGCCATCCGCTCGGCGAGCTCGGTGTTCCCACCGACCCCTCGAACGTCCCCATGGAAGTAGGTGAAGGCGTCGTGAAGGTCGCTGTAGTCGATGTTGATAGGGACGTAGTGGACCCAGGGTTGAATTCGGTCGCTCCACCACTCGGGGTTGATGCTCGACTTGAACAGCAAAGAACCGCCCATAAGGAGTCGTTGAGTACGGGCAGACCACTGAGAGAAAGAAACGAATCGCAAAACGTAAGTCTCGGTTCGATCCAAGCTAGTGTGGTTTCGAGCTCTACTTACAGAGTTGCCATCAACGTCAAGCACGTATTTGTACTCGAGAGCCTCCTCAAAGGTCATCAAGGTGGTCTTGAAATCGTACTCCTCGGCCAACTCTCGGCAAGTGCCATCCGAGACCTCGCACTGGATAGGTCGACCGGCAAAGGAGATGTCGAACAGCCTGGCATTGGCAGTCCCCTTGTGCAAGTGCTGCATAGCTTCTTGCAAGGTGGGAACCTTCTTTTCCGAGGCGACCATGGCGGGAGTAGGGAGGATGTCGATCTCGCCGTCAGCGTACTTGTTGGTAGTCCTGACGAGTCGAGTACGGTGACTCTCCCTCCAAGGAGTAGCCGAGGAGTGGTAAACACCCGTGTTGGATCCACGCCAGAGCAACTTGGAGTTGTTACGCTCGGACCATTCGATAGAGGGTAAACTCTCCACCCACTGTTCGACGGGCACGGCGAGGACGTCGGTATGAAGCGAAGTCTTGGAGAGCGAAAACATGGCCTCGAGACGACCGGCAACGTTGGGAGCCTTTCCAGCGGTGATACCGTGAATGTCGATCAGGTGAGGATGAGAGCAGAGGTCGGTGTTGGCAGAAATGTCGGCGACGAAAGACTTCTTGGGAGGCTTGGCGATATCGAGACCTCGAGCGGCCTTTCGCATGGCCGACCCGGGAGCACAACCAGCGGCCCAACCTCGGACGGAGACGTCGAGTTCCTCAGAAGGGTCGTAGTCTACCATATGAGCGCGATAACGAAAGTAAGCACATGCGACAAAGCTTTTGTGACACTCGATCCGACTCACACTCGTCGTCCTCGACAGCGTTCAACAGGTCTGACCGATGATCAGCGCCGATGAAGCCCATAGGAGTATCATGAACCCCAAAGACGGCTCTGAAATCAGGCATCCAAGCCGGGATCCCAAATTCTTCAAGGAGGTCGACTTGCCCCGACATCCGATCCCTCGCACCTTCGATCTCGGCATCGGAAAAGGTACCCCCAGTGCTGATCTCACCATCATCGAGGATCAAGTGGAAAGTGTCCGCGTACTCAAGAGCATCATCGATTCGATGGTTGAGCTCGGAGGGGGACAGGGCGCGGAAGAGGGCGAGGTCGGCGTTGATCTGGTCGTACTCGTCGGGGAGCTGGACGTCGTGTTCCCTGTAGAGCAAGGCGAAGCGAAACAGACGCATCAGCAAAAAGGCGCGAGGCAAGAATCGGAGAAAAGTGAAGAAGCGACTGACTTGACGAGCTTCCACCACTTGTCGAAACCCCTGGGCGGAGCCCGGCCTCGATTACGCTTCTTGTACTCGTTGACAGCTTGGAGCAAGGTCTTGCTCTGCCTTGCGACCTTGCTGTCCCATTCCTTTCGAGCGTGCTCGGCGAGCTGAACGATAGGATGGGCGGTGACCGGGAGAGAAGTATCCACAGCGAGGACTCCCTTGGAGATGGGATGAAGGTTGTTCTTGGAGGCGGAGGATTTGACTCGTTGTTGTTTCTTCGATTTCGATTTGGATTTGGAAGAGAGGGGAGCGTTGGCTCGACCGGTAGGGTTCGAGTTGGATGTCTTCTTCTCCATGGTCGATCGCATGTACTTGGAGCTCGGCTCTCCGGCCTCATCAGAAGATGCACCTCCGAGCCAGGACCCGGGCACACGGGCGAGGTCGACGCCTTCGAAGCCGAACTCGAACGCCTTGTAGAACTGGTACAGGGCGACGATGAAGACGAGCACCATCAAAGCGCGCTTCCTCCAGACCCGCTTGTACCGCCACTTCATCGTCAGGGGCATGGAACTTCGAGAGTCCTTGGCCTGGATCTTGCGCTTCTCGGCGACGGCCGACCCTATTGCGCCATCGAAAGTCAGATCGAGCATGTTCCTGGGGAACATGCGGCGCATGAACCTAGAGCTGGATTCTTTGAGCGTCTCCACCGAGCTTCGCCTTCGACCGGCCTCGACGTTGAGGTTGCCAAAGTGAGAGCCGGTAGGGCTGTTGATCTCCGGGGTGGAGGGGCCGCTATCGTACCCCATCGTGAGCGGATAGCGGGAAGGCGGCGAGGTGCGCCCGGGCGAGGTGGTGGTAGTCTTGTTGGAGTTGAATTTAAAGTCTTCAGGGGACAGAGGAGGGGTCATGGGCGCGACATTGTGGCGTGAGAAAAAGGGCGAGTCGGGGTTGACGATCCAGTCTCCCCTCTGGTTCAGCCCAGATCGGAGTGGTGGGGTCGAAGGAAGCGCTTCGCTGGCCTGTTTCTCATTGCCCGGGCTGGGAGGGGGAGAGGATGGCCGCGTTCGGTTGGTAGCGGGCCAGAGGACGATGGCAGGAAGAGGCTCCATCTCGCGAGTAGAGGTGATGGGTGTGAGGTGCAAAGGAGTCTTTCGAGGCGAGGGTTGAAAGTCTGATTCAAACATGATCGTCACGGATCCCCTTCTCTATTCGGTCTGAACTGGCCTGCGATTATATACGACCTACGACGCATCACCATCCTCGATAGACGAGACGAGCAGCGCAAGATCGAAGGAGGCGCGTCAACGTAGACGCTGCGACGTCGGCGCATGTCATCAGGCTGAGACAAAGGTGGAAGAGGATCTGACCTCTCTCTGGCTCCCTTGCGCTTTGCGTGATTGTCACGGTTGGTGTGACTCACCTATCTTGGGCGACTGGCGACTGGGCGAATGGACTAATTTCGATGACCGCTACTGACTCCCTGTCGATCGCGCGGGGGCAATCGCAGGCGCGGGCAGGACGAGGGCGACACGGGTAAATTCCCCTAGCGTCCAGGGGGTGTTCCGGTGATCGGTTGCGCGAGAACCCACCCCTAGCCCTTCAGCACTAGTGCCCGGTGCCACAGCACACGGAGGGCGGAGAAAGGGATGTGACACCGTGGAAAGAATGACAGAAGTCACGCGCGGTACCTGTGTGCGTGTCACCGAGCTAAAAGGTACGCTCGGCACTCGCCGTAAACGAGTTTGTCTCGGATGACTCCCGTTTCATATGGGATCACCGTCGACCACTGGCCACTGGGCCGATACGTTTTTTCGGACTTGGAGGATCGACCGACAGACGCGTCGTCTCTTCCTTTCGCGCAGTAGTAGTCGGAACCGACGTCTCCCTTTTCTGCTCAAGGACCAGGAGGGCTGGAACTGCTGACTGTACAGTCAAGAGTCTCGTCTCGTTTCAATTAGATGACAAGCGAGGCGAACCGACTTCGAGGTCCGTCGATGTCGAGGTCGAGGTCGAGGTTCCATAAATCGACCTGACCTGACCTGACCTGACCTGACCTGACTAGTCATCACGACGATCGATCTGACCGTAATTGCTCAGCCTTTCTTCTTCGCTTGACGAAACGTTCCAGTCCAGCCACACATAGCACTAGCGTTAGAGACTTGGCAAAGGCGCCTTGTAGGTCATTCTCACGCGATAGCGGGGGAAACTAGACTAGCTCTATGGCGACATCGCCATGATATGATATGATATGATATCATCGTAACTTAGCTGGAGACGACCAGTTCACTACGTATTCTGCGGTAAAGTAGAGATCCCGGTCACTATCGTACCATCTCAGTAGCTGCTTTATTAGCCTACGATATCTCCTCCAGGTCACGTAGGCAATACTTCTAGGACCCCGATTAGCGCTGGGCTTGCGTAGACAATGATGATGAGGTCTCAGCCTGGTTCTCTTGTACTAATGAAAGCCTCTCGATCTCGCCCTGTAGGGTAGGGTAGGTCGGAAACTCGGTCGGATGGAGGTATCGATTCTCCCATCGCGCTTCATCCACTATTGTACTATTGTAGACCACTAAGCCACTGTCTACTCAGGTTAGGCCTCATCTCATCTGTTCTTGTACGAGCCGAAATCGTCGGAGACGACTTCAAAGCCAAGTTGCGCAGTTTTCCAGATCATGCACGCCCATGCGGGCCATGTCGAACTTGCATCGTTTTGTGCATTACATCATTATATCATTATAATCCCGTGCTTGATAGCGTATTCCTGATCTATTCTAAATGGTGTCCTGTACAATAATGCCATGATGCCGAGATAAACCCCTCGTAAAACCAGAAACAGACGAGCGTATGGCGATCATGCTATACACCGTAAGCGGACCACCGGTGCAGCTTTTCCAGCATCATCTCGGCCATGGCGATCCTCGGTTGATCGCCCGGATGTACGGGGTCGTTAGGTGCCCAGAAATCGTCCGAGTTGAACGAGTCTTTGAGTTTCCAGTACTATTTTTTCGTCGTGAACGTGTAATTTGGATCAGCCCAGATGTACGAGTAGAGATATACTGTAGCAGCCAGATGCGGCGAGGTTATCACTCACGTCCAAGGAATCCACGCCTTCCTCCTCGGCGGCGAGCCGTAAAGCCTGGGCGTGCTGAGCCAACCGTCGTTGACTGAAAAGCGGGGGGAAGAGCACCGAATCCACACTTCGATCGAGGGGAGGTTGAAAGTACCCTCCGCCCCAGTTATGTTTCGCTCCCAAATCCACGTTGTTAAGAGGGTGCATGTTGATCCACACCACCTTGCTCCTCGGGAACATCTCCCCCATCAACCCTATCAACCCTTTCAACCTCCCCGAAAAAGTCTTCAAGTCCTCTTCGGGGATCGAGTTGTGGAAACGTTTCTCGATGATGTCCCTGTTGAACATGTACAGGTAATCCCAAGCTCCACCGCTTAGGGAGATGTAGTCCGGTTCGGGGATATCGGTGAGGAGCGTGTTCCACAGGTTGGGGACTCGGGTTTCGTAATCGTATGGACCGCCGGGGAAGCATTTCTCCAGGTATCCGAGGGTTGTCGGGTCGGTAGCGTTCGCGAAGCCTACAGTAGAGAAAAAGATCAGAGAGGTTGTCAGGGATTTGCGAGAAGGGCGCGGAATCGTGCTAATGAAGAAGAGAGGACTGACCATACTGGTGGAACCCGACGATAGTGAAATTCAATTCCGGCTGCGTACAAACGCTCGCCTCGGAATAATGTACGGCCGGCTCCACCCCCGGTGGATACCTCACATTCTTCGGCGCGCCGATCTCGAAACAAAGCTGGTCCCATAATTGTCTCCCCACAGAGTCCCCGAGGATGAACATGGTCTTGTTCACCAGAGTCGGGAATTCGTCGACGTATTTCGATGAAGGGGTGTCTCGGAACCGTTGGATGAATTGACTGGATTGACAGGCGTTGTCGGAACGTTGCCAGTGGCCTTCTTCGGAGACCCAGCCAGGGCCGTACGTCCTATCGAATACAGAAATGCAGGTGCGCGAGATCGAGATCGATCGTCAGCACAGCCGTTCCAATGCGTGTGGATGATGTACTCGGTGGCATTGCACTCACGGATCGCAGCTAGCTTCAGGACTCTCGGGGTGGACGTTGAAGAACGTGTTGACCATTTCTCCCATGGCGGGACTGATGGCCGTCGTCTTCTGGCTCACATAGCTCACGAGCGCGAACGAGGAAAAGACGGCGGCGACCGATTTGATCCGGAGCATCAACATGGTGAGGAGGCGGGGGTGAGAGTGGGGTCTAGGTCGATGCAAAGGAGGGGAGGAATGAGGGGTCGTGGTGAGGATAGGGAGAAGGGGATGTCCTGCAGGTTGAGCGATGAGGTTAATGGCGATCTGGACCAACCTCGATGGACGAACCTGCTCAGACCCCCTCTGGCCCATTATATGGGAGCGGTCAATGCGACGCGGTCGCGTCCATGGTATGGGGGCGACGACGGTCTCCTCGGAATCATTCTTCGACCACGACCACTCTTGCTGACTCTCCGACGACGTGCAGCAGCGACGTCGCAGACCGGGACCCCTTGCGCTTATCGGCCATCGCTGGACAGCCTCGGTCCCGAACGGCACGGTGGCTTCATCGATGGTCAATGATGACTCCCTCCGTCCGAGGTCGCGCGCGCGCGCGTTCCTGTCGGTGACTACATCAATCAATGATGGGATGGGACGGCGGCGACCTTACCCGCACACACACGGATGACTCTCGGTGCTTCTCGCAGCGGCATCGAACGATCGTATCTATAGTAGATCTGCCGGCAGATCCCAGGGAGTCACAGGATCGAGAAGGTCTCGGATCGCTCGAGCATTTAATCCGCCCTTAGGAGTCACCGTAATAATGTGACGACTCACCCTTGATCGACGACCACTCACCGTCCCCCAAACAGGCCCCGCCTTTTTTTCTTTCAAGCCGCAGTGTGACAAACGTGGTCGAAGCGTGATTATGACACCCAGCCATCCACTCGGGACGACCCGAAGGACCTGGGTCGACGTAGAGTCTCTCGACTGCCGGTCCATATCGACAAGAACCAAGGCCCAAGGGTGACCTCATCCTGCTTGTATAACAACATACAAGGCAGTGCCGGCCACATCGCATAATAGCTCATGAACAATCCAGCCTGGAGCTGAAGTCAAACCGACCTTTATAATACAACACAACACACCCGTCTCCCTGTACCAGGCTTGGCATCATGCGACAAGGATCCCTTCGAACACACCTCCGACGCTGGGCGCGGGGTAAAAAGACGCTATGGACCCTAAACGGCCTGCTGCTCATCATCTGTCTTTCCCTCCTGGTCGATACGTACTGGGATCGCCTTTCCTCCGAGTCTTCCTCCTTGCTGGAATCGGACGATGGTAATGGTAGTCCGGTCGGCTACGCAATGTCTGGGAGGAACCGGGCGAAACCTTCTCAACCGCTTCGACAACCCCGGGTCCCCAGCACGGGGACTTATAGTCGACGGAGGGCTACTCGATCTGGGTCTGATCCGAAGGGAGGGGTACTGAAACCAATGGGCCCGGCTTATTGTACGGCGGACCAGTATGCGAATGGGACGTGGGAAGCTAGGCCGAGACCGCCAAAGACTTTGGCTGAGATTAGGAAGTTGAATTCTTTGAGCGTGAGCACCGAGTCTTCATCCCATCTCTCAACCTCGATCCCCCTACTAACAAGAAACCATTCCAACTCTCCCGTCTGCGTATGTGAACCTCTACTAGGCTTCGGGAGCGATGGGCTGTCACCCACTCCAATGGCCCATCGAGACCAAAGGTGAACCCGCTTATGACGAACCGGCTCACTTGGACCGGATGGTCCAGGCTGCGGCTTATCATTGGGTCCCAGCTGAAGGGTGTCGGAGGAGAGAGTTAGCAGCGAGCGTCTTGGTCAAGAGGTTGTTGAGGAGCAAGGGGGGGATGTTGTGAGTGATGACTCGGCCGGGTGTTCCGGTTGTGAAACGTCGATTGGCGCAAATCTGAGCGAAAGGCTGATTTGGTCCTTGATCTCGTTGATTAATCGGTGATCGCGGTGTCTTGACAGCATCGTCGGTGACTCGTTGACGGAGCAACACGCCGTCATCCTCAGAAACCTCTTGGTCTACCCCGGAGGTCCCTTTGAGGTCACGGGATACGGCGACCGACCTCGATTCGAAGGGATCATGTTGAACCGGGACCACCCCCATACCCCGGAAATCCTTCGATCGGCGGGGGTAGCCGCTTCTCGGTGCGATACCCCTATCGTCTCGATGTACCTCGAGCGACATCTCATCAGCCGGGAAGAGATGGACGAGGTCATGCGAGGAGCGGAAGGGAACGGCTACATTCCCTTCTCCAGCGGTAAAGGTCTGGAGCAATGGGTGGCAGAGTCGATCTGGTACAAGGAATACGTCAAGGTCATGACCGGCCCCGAAGTCGAGGTCGATCCCGACGTCGCCGTTGAGGAGAACACGGTCTTGGTGCTCAATTCCGGACCTCATTGGGTCAATTACGAGTTTACCACCAAGGAGGTCGATTTCTACCCAGAGCTGCTGGATGGTTGGGAGAATACGGTGAGTCGTGAAACTTGATCATCATCTTACCTATACTGGCTCACACTCACACTCGGACCTGCGTTCGTCCAGATCGAACTCTTGTTGAAAAAGATCGCCGACGTCCCCGCTGCCAAGCAGAGCGTGTTCTGGCGAGCGACCGCCCCCGGGCATCCTCATTGCGAACTCTCCACTACGGCAGAAAAACGGACCGATTTTAGATCCACCACGGACCCGAACTTTATGCGATACAACTGGGACCTGTTCGAACAGCTCAACAGCCGGTGGAAGAACCGACTGGGCGGTGGGCCGGGCGGGCCGGGGAGGGACGTGGCGACCGGGATGCAGTACCTCGATATCTGGCCCATGAGCGTTCAGCGACCCGATTCGCACCTCTTGCCTCCGAACGATTGTTTGCACTATTGTTACGGTCTAGGAGGGGTCGTAGAAGAGTGGCAAAAGGTTAGTCGGCGCGACGTCTCTCGTTTCTTATACCGTTGACGCTGATTATTTCCTTCCATCTGCAGTTCCTCTGGCACAACGTCGCTGCGCAGTCGCGCAACTCGGACTACCACGTCGACAGGCCTGCATACCACTGAGGATCTTACACGACATACAGGGTCATACAACAATCGAGGCCGACATATAATGACACGAACCATAATCACATACTGGATGATAAATAGCATAATTGTACAACTCATAAAACGTGTATAAGCAGTACTCAGTACGAATACGATGTCACCGGTTCTGCATACGCCCGACTCAGGCCTCGACCGCTACCTCCCGCTGCTTGTTCAGTCTCTCCAGCTCTTGCACCTTCATCATGCTCTGAACCTTTACCCTTTCGGGTACGACCCGTTCCCTCGGTTGTGTGATGGCGAAGTCGTAGCCCTTTTCAGGGGTAGCCCCGAGCGCTTTGAGCGTCTTGAGTTCGACCAAGCTATAGTCGTCAGGATTTGGACGGTTGAAGTTGAACGGGTCTTTAAGCGAGACTGGAGGGTTGGTGATTATCCTGGGAATACGGGTGTTGTTGTGCGAAGCCGAATGGAGCATGAGCGGATGGATGAGGACGACCTGTAGCAAATGTAGAGATTTCGTTAAGCACGCGGGGTGGTCCATATCGAGTTCAGACATGGACTTGCATCCCCAATCTCCCCAGTCATCTCATGAAAGACTTCGCACTTGTTGATCAGATTCCGGAAATCGAAATTGACCACCCCTTCTTTCCCGCCCATCACCCCAGCGGGATTGTCAGCCAAGAACCGGGCGACGTGTTCGATCCCATCAGGGGCGACCATGGTTCCCCCACCTCGAGCTTGAATGTTGCTGAACAGCGGGATGCAGAGCTAGAGTAGCATCACAATCCGTCAATCATTTCAGCTCACAGGTACTATATCTGTACAGCAGGCGAATGTGAGGTGAAGGGGATTTGGGTAGAAGGTGACTTACGAGACCTTGTTCCGGGCTGTCCAAAAACTGCGAAAGAGCTCGAACCATCTGGACACATCAGCTATGATTCTATACCCCCAAGTCTGGCATCAAGGCCTGAGTGAATAGTACTGACATGTCGGAAGAAATCCCCATCGCAGTGCCAATTATCCAATTCTCTCGGGTGCGGCGTCTCCTCTTTGGCGTACTCGGGAGTACCGAGGTTGACGATCAGGGCGTCGCTACACGCAAGAACATATCACGGTGAATTAAACCGGAGGTAACCTAGGTGGAGGGTATAGCATCAAGATTCGAGGAAAAGTCTCACTTCCAGGTATTATGCTCGTCACTGATCCTTTCCTCTCCACCCTGTCCCGCTCGCAGAACCGCACAACATAATCGTACTCAGCCGCTTGTTCACCATCCCAGTTCAACGACAGGGTAGACTTACGAGCATCTCGCAGATAACCTTGTAAGCCTTAGGACTGAAGTCCTTGAGCAGGAATTGGCGATGCGCTTCGATTTTGAAGAAATATCGTTGGTGGATTAGCGACTGGATCTTCCGCGCGTTTGCAGAGAAGGTGAGAAGATACGTACTGGGCATATTGATCCGTTCCTACAGCAATGCATATCAAAGCGAGGGAAGATCGTGGGTCAAGGTCGAGATGAGGTGTGTACGAGGATTCGAAGGTTGAGAACCAAAGAGAGAGACGTTCGAAGATGATGATGATGATGATGATGATGATGGAACAATCAGCCTGATGTCGCGCGTATGCAATTTGAACGTTCGGCATTCGTGAAACCCACCTTGTCCCAAGTTGACGAGTCGTTGGGATCCATTCCCAACCGAATCCAGACATCACCAGCAACCTCTCGGGCTTGCTCCTGGGTGAAAGCCTGCTTGACAACGCAGTAGCCGAATTGCATGAAGTGGTCGACCATATCGTCTGATTCACAGATAGTGATAGACGAAAATCAATCAGCCTGAACGCCGAACGCGCGCGGGACGATGACACTTGCCGGTCAGGGTTTCATATTGACGAGGCATGTTTGCGATAGTGGAGTTGTCGCCTAGCAACAACAGCAGCGAGCTCTTAGCAGCTAGCAGCTAGTGTTGACCTCCCAATCCGATGTCGTGTTCTTCAGCTGTGATCTATATATCCATGGCGAGCGAGACAGACCATGCCGGACTTGGTCTTTTCCGGCCTTTTCTCGGCCAATGGTCGATGATTCGCTCGGGAAATTGGTCGCAAAAGGCCACGAGATACACCGACAGCAAAGCAAAACACGACAGGTGACCTAGACGGCGTTGTCGCTGGAATCCCCAGCATCGCATGGTTCTGATGAGTTCCGTGCTGCGTTACGATGCAGGCGATCGATTCGCGATAGTGGAAGTGGGCGTAAGAGCGAATCAAGCGCAAGCAATTGACTGTCGGGATAGATGTCGCGCGCGCCAACATGTATACCGCTAAGAAACCGATCTCTCAAGACTTGCCTGCACCCTTGACCTATTCGACCACGTCTATACAGCGTATACTCGTTTGGTTGGCGGCAGAGGACCCTCCCTGCATGGTACATGGCATGGTGCTACGATCTACGAACGAGACATACAAGCACGTAAAGACACGGTCGTACCGATCGCGGACACCGATGATTTGTATCAAGAACAGCGCGCGCAAGTTTCAAACACCCGAAGTGCCCGCAGACTCGAGGGAAGTATTCTTGTTGGATTCAGGCACAGTGTGATCGCTCAAGGCATGGCTGCCGGCCGAGAAGGATCTTTCAGGGGTTTCATTGTCACCTTCGGATCTCACAGAAGCGTTTTCGTCGTTTCCGAGGGACAACGTGTAAGGTCGCCAACACCTGAAGTGCAGGTCGTCGGGTTTCTCCTGTCGCGACGGTAGAACCCACAGAACCACCTTGCCCTCAATACGAGGGTTATCATCACCAACAAGAGTTACGTAAATATACGCCGTTGTGACTCCGAGCTCATATCCATCTTTGGGGTGCGACTCGGTTGCCGACTGTGCAGCCTGTCTGAGTGCAAAGTTTCGCTCAATTTTTTTCTTGGGTGAGAGCTCATCGGTGAACTTCTTTCGCAGTTCGCTCTCGGTGTACTTCCCGCCGAGCATCTCAACGAGCTCATTCACCTCATTCTCGATAACATTTGTCATTTTCTTGGTAAGTACTGGCCAAGTCTTTTGTAGGTCTTCCTTCTGACCAGGAGTGCTTCCCGTTGTATGAGATTCAAATTGTGGATCATCGAACACCACAACCAGTCGATCCTGGTCCACCTCTGGTATGGAGGTCATGGAAATGTAAGCCAATCCGATGTATGCATATGATTCTGGATGCATCACTCACCTTTTCGAGAAATCACCTGGGGTTCGGTAGGCGTGGTCATTTCAAAAGATCAAGTTGAAATGATGTGACAGGAAGAGTCTGCTTGATTGAGGAAAGGAATACAGAAAGCCACAATTTTAATGGAGCCAACTGGATCCACGCTCTGCGCCCGTCAATTATATATATGTGAAGCTCACGAAGGCCAGAAAGGGTAAAACCAGCTGACATCAAATGGAGAAGCATAACAAAGGAGCGCCGACCTCTGTCAGGTGATGTCCTATTCGACAAAGGCACGCCGCCAGAGAGGGAAAGGTCTGCTGATATCGGACGGAGAAGTATTGGCGTTGGGTCGAAGACTGTCCGAGCGATCTAGATCTTATTGCTGTAATCGCAATCATCGCATAGTTCTGGTAGAATTGCTGATGGGATTGAGAGGTCCTTCGAGACAGATAACGACATGGAGCGAAAGCCTCGCAGACAGCCGTAACGGTCAAGGTGACATTCCGACAGGCGCCCGCGCGCTAAAGCTCTGGCATGCCAAATGCTTTATGGACGAGCTAGAGCTTCCTCCACTCGGATCTCTATCCATCGTTGTTGTTTATCCTAAAGATACAAGATGTGCCCTTCGCGTGCTCCTGCTTGACAATCTACAATTGAGCCGATTCAGTCTGCGATGGTCCGGAAACAGATCTGTTGGAGACAACAGACTCGAGCTTCCATCCCGTAGTTCCACTCATTTTGCCATCCAAATCGAGCGGGTAGCCGAAGTCTCTGGTGAGCACCGTACCGTCGACCGATGACGGGATAGTCGGGGTATAAAACCGTCTCGCAGTCGCAACGGAGTCTTCCATGACTATGATACTCAACTCAGTCAGGATAAATCGACGCACGTTACAGATTTCGAAGTCGGCTCTCACCACATCGCGGTTCTGTCTTTCGGTCTGTCCGGAAAGGGAATTTTATCGATCGAGAAACGGTGGCAAAAGCACTATCCGCGGCGTCAGCCCTATTAGTGATTTGTACGCTTGCCTTGTACTCCTTTTCAGAGCCACCAATCTCGACCTCATCAAGACTGACGCGGTCGGCGCGGAAAGGAGTCCCGTTCAAAGTTTCGTCCACTTCCTTCTTCATCGAACCCATCAAATCCTTCAGTTTTTTGGCAAGTACTGAATTCCATCGGGCATCAGTGAAGCTCTGAGTGTTTTTGTTCTCCTCCAAATAGAAGGCTTTCAGCTGCCGGAGGTAGATTGCCAGATCGCCTAGCAACTCTTTTGATTTAGCAGCCCAAACCTCCGTATCGTCGATCCGGGCGCCTCTTTCAGCTTGACCCGGCAGGATTTGAAATTCCTTGGCGTGGCCCAAATACATGTGCCAGACTAGTTGCCAGTCAGCATATTGCATTGGGATATATGAGCAACCTGTCATTCATCTTTCGTCGACATATCTCCAAGATCTTTGTGTAGGTAGAGGTCGGTATCGAACACGCAGCTGAGTGCAGAAAGGGGTGGTTGTCAAGAAAATCACAGAGGAAACCGGAAAAAATGCTCAAGCTTTCTCGTGAGCGAAGTGTATCATATAGCGGGAATCTGTCGCGGAGGGGGTTGAAGGGAATGAAGCATGGGGGAACGGGGAACAGCAACGGGTAGGTAGCAGGATCACCTGATACAGGTCACGACGAAGGAGTCTCGTCGTGTGCTTGTTTCATGCGATGACATCGTAGAGACGCATCGCCTGATCGAAGAGCCTCAAGAACAGGACATTATGCTTCGTCAAATGCGAGGGTACAAAACACTCGCAATAGGGGGTGAACAAACCAGATCAAATGATCATGAAACATGCACGTGACCTTTATCGGCACCCAGATTGGATTGGCGTGACTTGCGGAGCCCATCGTAAGATTCGCTAAGATTGTTTGAAAATCCTGCATACCGTCGCTACCACAGTCAGGTTGTCACATTATATACCCCCAGGACGGCGAGGAGCATTCCCCTCGCTGATACAGGGCTGATTATCCCACGCAAGATAGCTTGTCTCTGGAGAAGAAGTAGAGCCACCGGGGCTAGCCTGAGCAGAAGTCGATTGTCACGATGGACGGAATACTCATTGTAATGCAATCACTGGCACGTGCCAACTACGGCCGAGAGGCGGTGGCGCGGTTGGCTGATACAGAACGTCACGTAGCGCGGGAACCGATTGTATCGATAGTCGATCACCATGATGTGCACTACTGACATCGACAGGAAAAGCAGATACCCTGAGTGTCACCCAGCGCACCATGCCAAAAGCGTTATACAACGTAGATGGCATAGAACGTGGTGTTGCGATCAAATGAACGCACTACATTCCTGCGGAGCATACTGTGATGTACAACATGTTGAGAGATACAGTCACATACATATAAGTCGAATAGATCACATGCGCGGGTTCTCTGTATCCTACTTAATATGCAAAGATGTCTTCAGAGAATCCAAGAAGCTACGTATAGATCTGCCAGATGTTCCCTTCGAGGTGTCAGGCGCATTGGTACCGCTGGTACCACTAAAGCTGTAGACTAAATTCGATTCAGAACCTCGTCGGGTGGCAGTATCATCCGTGTCAGAAGCATCCTCAGCATTTGGATCCCAGAACGCCCACTTCTGCCTGCAAATGAAATGTTCGTTCCACTCTCGCCTACGAATGCCGGTGTCGTAGAGCCGGATGCGTAGCTGTACCTTGATCTGCCGCAGGCACATACCATCATCGCTAGGATCAGCGGGCCGTATCCACAATTCCATGAATCGAGCGGTATGATCCTTCTTGTTGCGGGATTCTTCCGCTAGGTATTTCTCGACATCCTCCTGTAGCTTTGGAAACCTTGGGGAGAGTTCCACGTTCGTAAGAACGCAAGCGCCGTTGACACTTGTGAAGATGTTGGCAAGCGCTTCCACCTCCCCTCTAACCAATTCCTGCATTTTGTTGTAAAGGTCAGGCCAAGCATCTTGCGATCCGTTACCCTCTCCCTCTTTCAACGAGGTCCCATGGGACTCGTTCAGTTCTTTCAAGATGACGATTCGTTGAGGAGAAGGCTCGTCTTGAAAGGAGGTTTGGGCTATCAGCGAATGAGAGAACGAGAATTTTTGCGCACAAAACTTACCTGCCCCAAGAGTGTCTTCCCCGGCTTGTTGCATTGCGGCAGACTGTATCAATTGATTTGGGAAGGAGAGAAGCTTGCAAAGAGGTAGTGCAAGAACGGGAAAGGATGCAATGTGGGCGGGAGGAAATCCGTTCATGACCCCTGCTTTTTCGACTGCGTGTATTTATCTCTACTACACGACTCAAGAGTTCGGTATCAGCCGACACCATACGGAGAAGCCCCACAAAGGAATTCACCTCCCTCGTCGGGTGATGTGATGTGGCGAAATCGATTCTCACCACTGTATCACGAGATCAAAGGCGTTTCAAGTGTTGTGCTGAATGTCCCGGTATATTCAAGCTTGCAGGTCAGAACACACGCTCAGCTGATAATGATCTGGACAAATAACAGAAAGGCTTCCTAATCCTTGGTAGATGGGACGCCAGCGCAACATCAGACAAACTTAATCTCGTCATCGAAGTCACAAGCGGATATTTTCGGCCTCTCTCTCGACTCGATGCGAGCGAAAAAGCACAAGGTGTGCTGCAAAGGGAACGGAGAAGCTCAACAAAGGAACCACAATTTTGATCATGGTGGCGCAATATGGTGACATGGATATCGCGCTCAATAATGATACCACCACGATATCGTTTTTGGCCATCGCGTGACTAAATCGATCACCCTCACACTCTGATTCTTGATAGCGACGTTAGCTGAAGGTTCCGCTTGGAATGTGTGGATGGCGCTGATGGTCAAGGCAATGAGCACGGCGGTCGGCGCGATTTCTACAAAGAGATACCGATCGTTGGGCCGGCCGTGTTTTCAAGAGGGGATGATATATCCGATGGACGATCTGAGCCAATCCTTGAAGATAGCAATATTACCTATCTTCATTCCCACGATAATCAGTTGTTATTTGCACCACGAAACGCAACCATGCCAAGAGCCTGGTGATGATCTGAATAATACTCGTGTGTGACAGGATCATCGATGTTACGGGGTACGGATTCGGAATAGAGCCAAGACAAAGTTAGGGTTGTGGTCAATTTAGCGATGGTCGTAGCATCAGCAAGTGCTCTCCTGTCGTCATTATCACTTGAGCTTCCCCTATCGAGGCGATAGTGAAACAGCGCGCCTTCATACTGTATGAGCATGAGAACATCATTGACGCCGCTCATCGTCAATCTGTTTGTCAAGGTATCAGGTCGATTTGATAGCGCCTACTTCCAGAGCTGGGAACTACCGGTGGTCGCTGTGGCGCTTATCGCAAAATGTAGTCTGAAACGTTCAAGACTCGTGTTGCAATGACATCCTGAACAACAAGTTGGCAGAAGGTTGCAGCGACAGAAATATGGGGTACTTCATTCCTATATACGATGTCATAGGTTGACGCTCAATTTCAACGTCGCGTATGTACTTTACATACATGAGCTCTCCCGTCTCTCATCGGATCCATGTGCAAACAATCTAAAGAATGAAATTATTAGCCCGCAAACCCCCAATTCTTGGCTCTAGCTAGGAGGTGAGCTTACTGATGGGAGATCATCGGGTAGTATCCGGAGTCGCCCACTCGTCTTGCTCGGTAATCATGGTGTCGACTATGTTTCCAATACGGGGGACACATGAGCGCTAACATTCTTTATGACATCGGCAAGCATATGCCTGTCTTCAATAATACTTGCCATACCTCCCGATCACAACATGAGTTACCGCGCCACGGGCCAGCCACAGGCTTCCAATGAAGCCACCGCCATAAGGGATCATGTACTAGGTCTTTTGGAAGCTGATAATGATTGGACTAAGGAGCAGAGAAGTCAGATTCATGCTGGATATGTGGCTATGTGTGAGTGATACTGGATCTGTGGCTATGGATGAGTGAGATTGACTGGTTTTCGAGTCCAAACTCTGCTGTGTCTAGTTCGAGCACGACAATGTGTCACTTCCGATCGCTCACAGCAAATTCGCCCAATCCTTCCTTCAGATCGTAGGAAACGAGAAGACAGCCAAGTCACAGAGGCCTTACACGAAACTGATCCATTATCAATATCATAAGTTCCGTTTAATGAATGTTACGAGACAGCGAATATACATGCAGCTCAAACCTCGACCAGAAAGCATTTGTCATCTACGTCGCGGGAATCGGCAAGATCGGCTCCTGATCTATATAGTCATCGTTGGCCGCATCAATGACCATGAGGTGCCAGAGAAAACTGATCCACTCGTTGGGCGCCGAGGGGATGCAATAATGCATACAGTCGATGGCGGGCTTCAGGTGGGCGTCAGGTCGAGTGACGCTGAGCGGCCAGACGTCCAGGTATCTCAGGGGTTCGGGAGATGGTCGGAGTCGGACAGAACTGGTGGAAGGCTGGTATGATAGCCGGGAAGAGGTATGTCGATTCATTTCCGGGTAAGCGTTCCAGTTAAACTGTTCGGCCAGGGGGTTGTTGACCGAAAAGTGCGTGGTACGATTGTTGACGGCTACGAGCATTGAGAGGCGAATGAGTAATCATTCGAAACGAAGTAATCGTCTGCCTGGTCTGGAACACTTACGTTCAGGATATTGTTCACATTCAGGATCTCCCGGAGAGACCGCTCGCCAGAAGGCTAATATCTCGTTCCGAGGCAGAGTACGCAGCTTCTCCAGAACCCCAGCGACCTACGGGAGAAAGAGACAAGGCGAATCAGCAAACCGCCCGATTTCTCCCTCGTCGCAACAATACTGACCAGTTTGGTATACCCATCGGCGACCGCGTTAAAGCTCATCTGCTCAGGATCGGCCGCCAATTCACCTCGACCTAGACAAAAGACGCAACAGTGTCAGTCAGAACGTCCTTGCGTAACCCTCAGGTTCAAACCCGTTCTAATCTGGTCGACTCACTCCAATGCGGTCCGACGTTGAAGATCAAGACGCTCTTTTCCGGCCTGACCGGACCCTGAGGTAAGAGCTTCCCCAGGTCGTACCCGATCGGCGTGGTGAACTTTTTTTGCCACCACCTCCACCATTTCGTCTCCTCGAACACCCATTTCACCTTCAATTGTTCCTCGCTCCTCTCCTTGAAGGGTAGGTATCCTTGTACGCCAGCGAAAGCGGCATCCATCTCGTCCCGGGACATGACGTGGTGGTCCCGATAAAACGAAGCCAAGGGGGTGTCGGCGCGGTCGTGTCCCACCCTAGCTGCGTCCAGGAGGGGGATGGCGAGAGGATGGTCCTTTCGGAGCATGAGACGGAAGTTGTGGTCCGGAGTACCGTCCCACCAGAAGAGTTCGTCGGAACCGACCATGAGGCCGGTTATTACGTGCCAAGTGTGTTCGGTCAACGAGTCGCCGATGAACCTGCGAAGCGGATCGAAGCAAAGCGAAGCGATATCAAAGTTCCACCACGATATCAGCCAAGACCGCATCAAGATCACCTTGTATGATATTCAGTGCTAGCCAAGAGGCTCGACTCACGTAACCCCAGCTTTAGCCCTCAAACACCTCTTAGCAAAAGCCATCCTATCAAACGCATACTTCTTACACCCGTTCGTCGTGTTCCATTCGTATTGAGCTGTTTCTAGGACCCGGGCTGTGTATTCGGGGTCGGGGGGGAGACGGGGGGCTGCGTCGTCGACTGCGTGACATTTGAGCTCGGTTAGGTCCTTTTTTGGGGGGTTCGTGGAGAGAAATGGGGTGGTAGGGAGGTGATACAGTGGGACAGTGGGACAGATCGAACGAGAGATGAAAAGACAGAAGTTCCAGATAAGCTACGGACTCGAAAAAAAGGTCACACACGAACAACTAGAAACGCTCGATACCCCGATACGTTCCTCAAGAGAAGAAGTGGGGGAGGTAACGATGAGCCGGGACTGACCTGTAACCCAAAAGCCTCCCTAACCTCCTTAAAATCCCTCAACGGCACCTGTCGTTTGACCCATGATCCTTCTAGGTATTCTTTCTCTGAACAATATCCCTCGCCCTGGATCGACTTCGACTTTGGACCGGAAGCGGGGTGCGCATTGTTATTATTATTGTTGTTACTGGAGGACGAGCGGAACTTGGTCGCCTGCTTCAATTTCGAGTTGACCTCTTTCTTCGCCAACGAGATCGGGTCGGCGGGATGAGATTGAGATTGGTGGTACCCCCTGAGCTCGGTCAAGAGCAGATAAGCGGTCGTGCACCAGACGGCTAGCCAGAAGAGACGTTTCTTTTGCCTGAGCAGCTGTTTGATAGGTTTGAACGGCATCGAGGAGGTGGTGATCAGCTGTGTTGCGTCGATAAGGATGGGGAGACGGGATGGGATGGATGGGGGAAGGAGGGAGGAATGGGAAGAGCAATCGGGAAGACTACTGACCGGCCTGAAGTTGAGCGTGTTGTTGACCATCTTGCCAGAGACTTCACGCTGCTAGACGAGAAAATTACGGCACGAACTGGATCTGGTCACGAATCAGACTGATCCTCCGATATTGGAGTATCGATCGGAAGGCTGGTCCATTTCGCTGTATGACCCCAGTCAGAAACGAATATGCTGACTGGCATTACTCGAGGGACGGACATTCGGCTCGGTTCACAGGACTGCAAGGTCCCACCCACGCGGCGATCGTGGAAGAAATTACGTGATCTCCTCATGGCGGCGGCACCTGTCACAGGAACCGAATTGATCAGAAACCTGACTCGGGTGTCGTAGAAACGGACAAAGGCTGGGGTGATCCGAAACCGAGACATCACATCCCGGTCTGTCACGCTGAGGCCTTCAGGGCACTTTCTAGCGCGGAAAAGATGCCGTCGCCCACCCATGCCGTCATCACTCGGTTACGGCAGGGTGGCTGGTCCCCTTCGATTGATGATCGACTGCCGCACTGTCCAGAGTTCATCGACCATCCTCTCTCGGTCCGTTTCATCTTTCGACTCCTGTGCGTGCACGGCAAGATCCTGACGTATCGACCGGAAGATCGACAATTGTTATGCTTCCAACATCTCGTAATTCCTTACCGCGAGATAGGTTCACCCGCCGGTCGTCCCCACCCCCAGAAACTTCAATCCCGATCTCGACCTCGACTTCGACGAGCTCTATCACCAAACGCTTACCGGTTCAGATGAGGTCTCTCCCCCGAGGAACCCTGAACGCGATCAAAAGGGGGTTGGTCGTCCTCCTCACCTTTTTGGTGATCAACTTTTATTGGAGGGACCATCATCCTTCAGGGTCTTCGTCTTCGTCGGTATCAGGGTTCGAATCCAGCCTGAATGGACAGGATGCGGAAGGACACGGAGGCCTCCCCTACCCTCTCCCCCGAACCCGTCTACTCAGGAACTCCATCCCCCTAACTCAAATTCTCAATCATGCCCCAGGGTATACAGTCTTCCGGGACCTGTACTTCCACAAGGGGATCTACCTCATCCTCACCGATTCCCCGCACGAGATCCCTAAAAATCTCGACCATATCGCTTTCATAGAAAACCGACCGGTAGAGGTCCCGAAGCCTGTGGAGATGCTCGAGGTTAGGAGGGAGCCGATTATAGGGAATTTCCCTAAGGGGATGATCCATGATGCTTTTATTACCCCGGAGGAGGCGGTCAAAAGGTTCGATGTGGGCAAGGTTCAGGTAGTTAAGGGTATCTCAGTGAGTGTTTTCAGTCTTTTTAACTTGTCAACTGCGTCACGCTGCTTTGGTGGTCTGAGCTGATCTTGACTCGTTTCTCTTTTGGTGGCAGTTCGTGAATAATGACAAGAAATGTAAGCCTTTCGACGTGATGCGAAAGAGACCTAGAGGCTCCGAAGCTGACCCATCTCGACACGTCGTTTTTGATTGACTGAACAGTCGTCAATCACTGTAAGTCCATCCGCTGCCTCCCGCTCGTCTCGTCCTGGTCACCACATCTCACCTATCTTTCCTCTTCTCCACCATAGTCTACCACTGGATCGGCGAAGCATTCACCGGAGCCTGGAGAGTCTACACGAACCTCTTCACTAAAAACTCTATACCGCTCCAAGCGATCCCGGATCCGGATAGGTTCATCTTCATGCACGTGGACGATCATATGTTCGATTATGAGGATCTGAGTACGTGGGAAGGGGGGTGGAGGGATAGACAGGGGTTGAATTTGTGGTATACGAAGAAGCTTTTGTGAGTCCCGGCGTTCGGAGAGAGGGTATACGTTGATTAGCTCATCATTCCCTGCGTCTGGGATCGATCCGATTATATGGTATATAGCCCCAATGCCGTCATCGAGACCCTGGAAGACTGGGAGGACCGCATGAACAGCGATACCATTTATCGGTTCGAGACCGTCATCCTGGCCGACCGGTTCGGTGGCCACGCAGGTCCTACCTCGTCCTACAAGCCGTGGGGGGACGCTTTCCGACTAGACGTCCCCAAGAACTGGTTTCAACCGCTAAGGGAACGTCTGTTGGCGGATTATAAAGGCCCGATCCCGGTTGAGCGGACGAAGGAAGGAGCACCGAAGACAAAGTTGCCGGTGATCACTTATATCACTCGGCAGACGACGACGAGGAGGTTGACAGATGAAAGTCATGATGATCTGATGAAAGAGCTGGATCGGATCAGGAAGGAAAAGCTGGCCGAGGTCAATGTGGAGGAGTTTGAAGAGCGGTCGGTGGAAGACCAGATTGCGATCATGGGCAGGACTTCGGTCAGTCTGGGGCTGCTTTTTCTGCCTCTTTCAGGCGAGGCGAGGTAGCTAAATAAAGTTCTCCCTTGGTGTGCCTTGCATACAGATCCTGATCAGCGTGCATGGGAACGGTCTGACCAACGCCCTCTGGATGAACCCGGGACCGCACAGTGGGGTGTTCGAGTTCCAGCCCAACTGGTGTCGATTTGTGAGCCCGGTACATTCACCGAAACTACTGGCCATTCACTGACAAGTCTTTCTTCATTCTTGCTCTCGGCAGAACGATTTTGGGCCTCTGGCGGAAGGGAACGGAATCCCCCATTGGATCGTCAACGCAGACACGTGAGTGTGAAAGCATGCCTCCTCATCTCTCAGATCTCGCCCGTTGAGCAGCTGAACATCCTGCGTTGCTCTGGGTAGGATGTGCGCGCCAGCCGAATGCGGGATCCGAGGCTGCATAGATCCCGAAAACCCTGTGGTCAACAGCGACCACATCGAGATCGACGCCAGCTTTGTCGCCAAGCAAGTCAGGTCGATATTGGCAACCGGGAAACCAGACTATGTCCCGGCGAGGGCCAACCCTTTGTACCCAGAGGAGGAACCTGGCATGTGGCCAGGGACGCCGGGGTGGAAAGGAGGGCGATGAGCAGGGTATCTCCTACAGAAGCATTATTGTATCAATACAACATCAGGGCGACGTCATTTCTCGCGTCATAATTGAATAGATGTATACACGGCCGAGTTCCCGCACATCGACTACGCCTCATCGATATGCATGGATGATGGCACCGATGCACCAGGTATTGACCACCACGAATAAGAGACCAGCTGACCACAGCGGGAAGAAGACGTTCTCCGCCAAAAATTCCAGCTTGTATGCGATGGAGAGCCAGACGGCCTGCCGTATCGAGGATATATCTACTGGTCAGCTCGCCAAAACTGAATATGTAGTGCGATCAATGGCATACCTGCGCGCCGATCCAGCTTCCAAGGATAGCCATCGCCTTGCCCTTGGACAGGTGCAGACGGGGTATCACCACCGGCAGGAAGAAGAGGTACCACAAAAAGTACTGTCATACGCAGCGGTTTCAACTCGGCTACCTTTTCAAAAGGCTCGCCACCGCTTACCTGCGATGTGCAGACCTTGTTGAAGGTGACGAATACGACCGTCTGGACAAAGCAGGCGAACACGAAGTCGTATCGCCGTGCCAAAACGAAGCCAGCTGTCATCGTCGCCACCATCTGCGGGATGAAAGCGGAGATTGGATGTCGAGCGATGGCGACGAGAGCGTTCAAGGTGGATTGCGACTGGGGCGTTGTAGTGGTCGCGCCGAACATCGCCTGGTAAATGGGGTAAAAGTAGGCCGAAAAGTTGTGTCGATGATCGAGCCTTCCTACGTGGTACAGATAGGTATGTTCCAAGAATGGGTGACCCCAGCTGCGAAAGGGTTGTTTCAGTTGTCACGGTCCATTCTGCTCATAACCGTTCAACTTACATGGCGAAACAAAACGCGCTCAAGGCGGAAAAGGTACTGGCGCTGAAGAGTGCGAAGCGCACTTTATTCCATGAGAAAAATTGCCCTCTGTCCGCCTTGTGTAGCTCGATCAGAATCGGGCCGCCGTAGATGATGGGGTAGACCTTCCAGTGCACACTCAAAGCCCACAGCATAGCCGCCCGACCATATTGAGCCTTCTTGATGGCGACCACGGAAAGCAAGACCATGGCGATCAACAGGGATTCGGATGATCCCCGCGTGTTGATATTCAGGATCATGGGGTTGAGCGTCCAAATCATGTGCACGAGAGTAGGCGATGCGTTGATTGGCCGGCGTAATAGCAGAGGTGGGATGATGTATGATGAGACGAAGGAGAACAGGAGCTTGCCGGAGAATGCGCCGAGAGGGTCGGGCAAGAGCCAGATTGGGGATAAGATGCCGGCCAAGAGAGGCGTGTATCGATAAGTCGATCGAGCGTACGGGCTGACATGATCGGCAAGCATTCAGCGATCATCAGACAGGTGGATGTCCCTGCGCAGCCGACTCACTCGCCGATCGCTCCTCCGAGCCAACGATTCGCGAACCCGCTAGCAACACCCCGATCGCCCTGCCCACACCCGGTCCAGAGACATCGGACCGCATCGTTGAAAACTCGATAGTCGATATCGGTGTACTTGACATCCGAGTGTCGATCTTGGTATTCGCCAAAGACGATCAGACCCAGCTGGATGATGAACGATAGCGGGATGGCGTGCTGAATTGCCTTGTTTAGGGTCCGATGTCCGGTCGAGCTAAGGGAAGATCGGTAGTACCATGCAGTGGTGCCTCCAGTCGCGACCAGAGCAGCTCCGGTAAGTCGACTGTCGGAGCGCGATCGGATAAACCGTCACGGGTCAGGTGGAAAGAAGGGCAAGAAGAAGAAACAATACAGGGTCAACAAGCTATTTCATCATATATCGTTATCATCAAAATCAGGTCGTTACAACCGCGCGCAGACTTTCTAGGGAGAGAGACAGGGAACCCACGACGACTAGAGACCTACTCCTTACTTCCCCTCTTCCCAACCTCCACCCAGTCCTCGTACCCATCCCCCTCTTGATCCTCGTCCTCGTCTTCGGGCTCACGCCCGCCCCGGAGAAACTCGGCCACCTCCTCCAACTCGTCCGCATTGATCCAATCCGCTCCGAGCGCCTTGAGCCTCCTCCACATCCTCCACCTGATCCTCCTAGGCCAACTGACGACGCCCCACCATCTCGCTTCGATGCCTTTCGAGTGGGCTAGCTTGATGTGCGCGGCTACGCTGGAGATGACCGCGCTGGGGTTGAGGCTGGCGGGGAGGGTAAGGTTGGGAAAAGGGATGTTGTCCAGCGTTTGAAGGGAGAAGGGGAGGGCGAGGGAGACGGTCTCGGCCAGGTAGGCTTGCAGAGGGAATTTCCCCGAGGCGACGGGTGCGTATGTAGGGTGCCAGTCGAGCAGTTGCAAGTCGCCCGACGTAGGGTCTGTGTAGACGATCGGTCTGTCCAAAGCCAAGAGGGGCGCATCGATGAAAATGTCTCTAGGGTTTTGTTCTAGGACCCTGAGGATCGGGGTGTCACCGGTTCCTATGATCGTCAACGGTCCGATGGACATTTTCCCCTGAGTGATTGGGGAGCTGGGGGAATCGCGGGTGAAAGTGGTGAGGTATCCTCTTTGTCGGAAGGGTTCGAGCGCTTTCACGAGGTATGGCCACATGATCTCTGCAGCGGCGGGGTTGTGTTTCTGTCAACGAGGGTAATCATCGTCCTTAGCAATCAGCTACACTGCCTCCACACGAAGTTCAGATATCAAAGCACTGATGTCAAGCGACTTACCACATCGATGTAAAACAACAACGTCTGATCCTTAGCCCCCCGATCAGTGTATACGCCGTTCCAATCCCACCCCTTTTCCCCGACCACCCCTCGTTTGTTCCCTTTACCTTTACCCTCTTCTTTCTTCCCCCCTGTGTTCCCCTCTTCCTTCTCCTCCTTCTTTTCCTCTTTCTTCTCTTTCGTCTCTCCGTATCTCCCCCGATCAGGATTAACACGTTCCAAGATCTCCCAGATCCGGTCCAAATAAACAGCCTTCAAAGTCCGGTCTTTCCGGAGGTCGATAGGGGTGTGACCGACGTAGAGTTGAGGTTCTTCCTCCTCTATGTTATCTTTGTTCTCTTTGTTGGAGCTGCCAGAGCCGAGGGGAAAGACGGTATTGAACGCTGGAGCGGCGGGAGGAGGTTGGTTCTGAGACTTTGAGCTAGAACCGGACCCTGACCCTGGTCGGTGTTCGAACCAGGATGGCTGGACTAGCCAGGTATCGGCTTCCATGGATGCTAGGCCTAATTTGTATGCTAGGTCCTGTTAAGAGTTATGTGTTGTGTGTTACCGTTGTCAATCCCGATCCCGTTTTCGATGATATGATTCCATCATCCGATAGTAAGTAGGATGACGAGGATGAAGATGAGGATGAGGATGGCAGTAAGACAAGATCATATGATAAGGCTCGGTCAGATTTCTAGGTTTCTAGGTTTCCGATCGTTGCATCTCCTAGTTGACAGGAGGAGACATGATGATGACGACAGAAGTAGGTAGATACTCACCCATGGTTCTTTCTGCATCTCGTCATTATGGCTGTTGGCGAAGACCACTCCTTTCCCTTTCCCCTTTCCCTTGCCAGCCACACTACTGATCCCCTGATTCTTACTCGTCAAGACCTCCCCCTCTTCATCCCGTATCCTCCGAACAGCTTCGTCCAACCCATCATCTTCCACCTGGTTGTCGATCTTGAGACCAGACAGCGTCTGATCGGGGTCGGAGTGCAGGGGAAGAGGATCGCGTCTGTCGGGCAGGTTTGCCGGGTCGATGGGTGTTGACATGATGTCACCGCTATGAGCTAGGGTCAAGTGATTGTAGGATGTCAAGATGAAGAAGAGGAAGAGGAGGTTGTGATTGTACATCCAGGGCGGATGGACAAGTTATACAACGAGGGTGATATGCAAGGTTTGATGAAGAGTTAGTTCCCCTTTGATAATTGATGATCTCCTTTGGTTAGGGGGAATGCGTTACGTCATCGATAACATCATTAACACCACAAGGTGACACCAGCAAGAACGATATTGTGTCACAAGGAATGTTCATTTCATCCTATTTCATCCGACAAGAGCTCGCAAGAACAAGCCATCGAAACGAAAACTCTGAAACGAAAAAAACACCCCGGCTGTCCAGCTTTCTCTTCTAGATTCTCTCCTTTTCTTATGTATTTTCGCTTTTTTCTCCTTTTCTTCAAGTCAATTTTTTCTCCTTTTCTTCAAGTCAAAACCTCGCAAACTTCAAACCCGATCCGATTCCAACGAGCGGTTGGATCGGTCAAGTGAATTTAGGGAGAGTTCTTGACGAACTCGATACCCTTGGCGATGTTCTTCTTCAAGCTACGAGATCGGCGGGAAGTCACAAGAAAAGCGAGATTAGGGTCAGTATCAGCTATGCGACAGATTCTTGGTATTGAGGCTCAAGAGGCGCGGGGACTTACTCGGGAAGACAAGCGGCGAGGAGCTCTTCCTCCTCGGCAGAGAGCGAACCGACCGAGTGGATCTTCTCCACACCCGAGGTCTGCGCGCAGCGCATCATATATCACACAGAGGCAAGATCAGCCAACCTCCTCCAATCCTTGACATCCTCAACACCACCACCGTCATCGAAACGGAGGTGGTGATAGTTAAAAGGGAAAGAAGAAAAAACGCCGCGACTCACGCCCAACTCGACGTTGCTAGAAAAGTACTCGATCCCCTGGTCCTCGTACAACGGGCTCTTGACGAAAGTAGGAGTGACGACGCCCTTTTCGCCGTTCATACCTCGGATGACCGAGTTGGCGAACAAGGCTCCGGCTACGACGAGAGTCGCGTTGGTTACGCGCGCGTGTAGCGGGAGGTGTGTGGATGTTTGTGGTGGTGGTGACGATCATGAGGGGGAAAGCGGGAAGGATGTCAGAAGAAGGTCAAACGAGGTCAGACCAAACGATTCCACAGGCATGTAGTAATTTTAGTGAGAAAGGCCGGACGTACCGTAAGCCATGGAGAGGGTAGCAGACCCGGCACCAGCCTTGGCCTGGACGACCTCTATTCCCAACCAACACATTCATTAAAATATCAGTCATCCGCCTCAAATTCACATTTTTAGGCAGGGGTAATAAAAAGAAGACGCGGCGACACTACTACTGACCGTCTCCACCGAACTGGATCCTCTTGACGAGAGCCTTGTAAGGCTCACCCTGGACACCCTTGGCGACCGAGGTCTGGGAGAGGAGGGGGACGATGGTCACACCGGAGTGGCCTCCGCTATAAATATCGAGTGGTGTCGATTGGACGGGGGTCGCGGGGGTCGACGTGGGGGTTGATAAAGTGTCATCATCGGTTGGTAATCGAAGGATTGTAGGAATAGGAGAAAGTAGGCCAAGAGGAGAATGAGGGGAGTTAGGTATTGCAAGGAGGGAGGGAAAAAAAGCGTCAGTGATAATTCCCGAGAATAGCTTTCCCCGCTTTCCCAACCCCGTGAAAACCCGCCCGGACTCACACAACGGTAACATCCGTATCCTTAGGCTTCGTCCCCTGAACCTCGCTCAAAAAGGTACTACTCCTAACAACGTCCAAAGTGGTCACACCAAACAAACGCTTGGGGTCGAACACGCCGTGCTTCTTCAAGACCTCGGCAAAGATGGGGACGGTCGAGTTGACGGGGTTGGAGATGATCAGGACCATCGCTGAGGGGGCGTGTTCGGCGGTTGCTTTGGCGAGGTCGCGGACGATCGAGGCGTTGGTGTTCTGCGGGTGGGTGGGTGGGTGGGCGTAGAGATGAGGGAGGGAGGGATGATCAGGATCAGCTGATGCACTCGGGTAAAACATATGAGTGAGGAAGTCGGAGGACTCACGAAGAGGTCGTCTCGGCTAACTCATCGAATCGCCCAAGATCCAAGATCCAGATTCCACGATCCGCGCGTTGAACGATTTACCGGGCGACACGATCGATCATCGCGATCACGATCACGATAACGATCCCCACCACCAATACCAAAACAAAACACAGAGAAAGACGATCAGCTCTCCTCTTCTCGTTCTTCATTCCCAATAAACATAACCCATAAGATCGCCCATAGGAGAAAAACAACACTGAAGGCAAGGGGGCCAAGAGACTCACGTCATACCGGGCTTCCTGGGGACACCGGCGGGGATGACGACTACTTCGGCGCCGGCGAGGGCGGAGGCGAGGCTACATAAGGTCGAGTATAGGCGAGGTCGATGTAAAGCGCAGGGGGAGAGTATGAGTTAGTTAGATGTGCAGGTCGCAAGATACGCCAATGAAGAGACTCTGCTCGAAGACTCTGCTCGCTGCGCTCGCGACTCACTCGGCCTGCTCGTAACCCTTGGTAACAGCCGGAGTGTTGACATGGCTAATATCAGCAGCGACACCGGGGGCTCCCCTGATATCGTACAAGCTCAACCCGGTGACGAGGGGGTCGGTCTTGAGCAAGAGGGAGAGGGGCTGTCCGATCCCACCGCCAGCGCCGAGGACGGCGACTTTGCGCTCGGCACGGGCCGAGGTGGAGAAGGATCGGAGGGTGGTGGATTTGAGGGCGGATCGGGCGAACATTTTGAGGGAGAGTACTTGGTTATGTAGTTGTCTTGGGTGGGGAGAAGTTGGTGTGTGTGGTTGGTCGATCGAGATGGTCTCGATGTTCGATGTCGATGATGTTGGGGGAAACGGCCGGACTCGCTGGCCAAACGCGGAACAAGTCGATGCGAAACGCGTGAGAAAGCGAAAAAGAATCGTCCGAAACATTCCGAAACAACGACGACGATAGATGTTTGGCGTTTCAGGTATGATGCTTCGGTCCTTGCGAGCTTCGAGCCCTGGAGGAGATGACCTTCGAATAGGGTACTCTGAGAGAACTGCATGCAATGAGCAAACCGAAACTGGCGAATGGGTCCGATCGCTGGCCTCAGCTCACAGCAACGATGCAAGAGCTTGTCGAGCAACAGTTCACCGCTATCAGGAGGGATATAAAGGCCTAGACGCTCGAGAAATGCGACCATCGGCGCTCCTTGCTCGAATGGGCAGACTGCTGGCATAGGGCATTGTCGAGACCAAACATGGCAATTCGTGAGACGGAGCTTACTCAAGCAGCAAGACAGAGTCTTCAAGACCTCGAGTGTGAAGGACTTGTGGATCCCAAGGTTGAAAGTTCATCCGTCTCTGCGGTGAACGTCTCCAAGGCGATTCAAATCTCTGTGACCTTGTCTTTCACAGATGATGAGGGGCAGAATACTTTGGCCCGATTCATCTGGTCGCGAAAGTGGAAAGTTTCTTATCGACAGGGGGTCGACCCTTCCTGTAAGCCTGTACCGGACTGGGGCTACGACTACAGCTGGGAGAGTAGGCCTTGGAGCCTTGCAAACCAGCGCGATCACGAAAACAGGGTCTCTTTCGTCACAGAATTGGAAACGAGAGCCATTTCGTATCCGGACCCGGAAGGCACGATCGCTTCGATGTGCTCCGCGCAGTAATGTCTCAACCCTGTAGCACGTAACATCCAGCCTTGGTAGAAGAATTTCTTGCGTATGGCGCGCGTGTTGCTGTTCGTACTTTCTCTAGCTCATCATCTTGCTACGGTAAACCGTCACATTCAAGCCAATCCTGATACAAGGCCTTGAAGAATTAGCAGGTGGAATACTAAGCTGGAATCGTACTTTGCGGTGAGTCGAGGATGAAAGGCTGCTTGAAGATTTACAAGTGTGAGGTGAAGCATTGGGTAGATCACTTGATGGGGCGACATTCAACAATCGAGGACAGTGTCGAAGGTGAGGAAAGCATCGTAATCTGATGCAGGCTAGCTGCACATGGCTTGTCTGTCGACTGTTCGAGATATGATTGTGTGAGATTATAGTCCTGTCAGAGACTTGTTGCAAGCCTGGAACTTATTCAGTCGATCGCGAGCGATTATGGCGACAGTGCGGTGTCTCGGATGTGGAGGTCGTGATCGAACATGGTGGACACGTAGCTGGATTATAGCCTCATGCGATGCAAGACACCTACGAATCTACGTTCTCTTCGTGAGGATGACCGATCAAGGAGTGAAAGATACTCTCGTAATGAATCACTTTGCTATCCTTTCCAAAAACACGGTGAGGTATCTTGCTGAAGGTAAACTTGTAAATTCGATCAGCCGACTGGATTGACCCCTATCGACGCCATTCGCTGGACCCATGCTCATATGCTTCGTTGCACCATAAAGTTGAGTCTTGTTTTCGAACTCCTGTGGTATCCTTACGAAACATGCAGTTAGAGCCGCGAACAGACGTCGATGATGGAACATGCCGATAAAAGATACAAGCGCAGAATGCCGTGAACTTTGCGTTTCACGTCTTCTTCAAAGCTCGTGTCTCATGTCAACCTTGACGAATATGCTCGACTTTTCCAATGCTTCCCTGATCAGTAATGCCAACTGCGAGAGGTAGGTTGATCATATCCTCTGTTGCTTGAGCGATAATAATCGCTTGGCTGTGTCCTTTAAAATTGTTGATTAGCTGAAGCTAGACCCCAGCCACAATTGGATCTGATAATCCCCGTTACTACCGCATGCGTTCTTGAATTCTCACCGATGGCAGTGACGATGGCGTATGAATGGGTAGTCACAGCTATGAGCTGACCCAAACGAAGCGACCCCTGTTGAGTGCAGGCCGAGTCCCGTCCCGCTCATGGGACATAACGAAGAAGCTGGCTTGATGGCGTTCCTTTCATGACTACCCCTCCGGTGGATCACGCATACAGGAACCGACACAGGCATATATATAGTGCAGAACCAAGATGTCCTCCATGCACCGCAATTTGAGAGAGCATCCTTCATTCTATCAAAATCAGAACTCGTTGATTACAAATGCCGTCTGAAGACATGAGAGTGCTGAACTTCCAGGATAGCGATTTCAATGGATTCCCGCCGGATTATCTTTGGAACAGAATGAGTGAGTTTAATGAATTGGTTTCGCAATAGGATGTGCGATCCTGTACTCGAAGCTTACACTCTGGAAGCTGTTTCCGTGTGAAAGACTATCTTCAACAGAGAGTGATAGACGCGTTCACACAAAGCGAACGCTGTAATATCAAGATCCAAACCCCAGATTGGGAGTCCCTCGTTCGGGAAAAAGTAATTGATGAGGTCGACAGACGGGCGGTTTTCGAGATCCTGGAGGACCAGGTCAAATGGACCAGCTGGCTATTCGTTCGGCACATTTTCGCTTCTCTGGCAAGGTTCTTTGATCGAAAAGGACCTCGCAGCGATTGGACTGAAGTCGAAGCGGAAATGCGTCAGGCGATACTCGACCTTGCCTCTGAAAGTCCCCTCGAGGAACGAATCAAAGAGGCGTGCAAGGAATGTTTCGAAGAAGCGGCGAACATGTATTGGCCGACAAAGTCGTTCATTGACCGTATTGAGCCCAATACAAAAGGTGTCTTTAATATCCATTCCTCCTCCTCCATTGCTTCCCATCGGATAGAGGTCCATCTCTCGCTCACATTGGAGGTGAAAGTTGTTTACAAAGCCATCCCTCAGCCGACTATCAACCTGATAGCCGTTCCACAGCCGACTTTCAACCTGTTAGAGATAGAAGGGATGTTGGACTTCGAATTCCCACTGGTCGCTGAGGCTGACACAGTATCCTCAGACACAACAACGCATACAATCGGAGGAAGTCTGACGAAAAACTCAATCTTTCGCTCGTTGACGGGGTTTACGTCAGCCTCCGCAATCAATCAAGCCCATCCGAGGCCCGACAGTAAACCTGGACCTGCGAGCATGTACTCGTCCGGAAGTGCAGGGGCTCACGAGGAAATGTGGTCAGACTGGTACCCCAGATCGTTGCGAGAGTCTCTTGAATGGCAATAGTCTTGACAGATGATATATTGGCTTCGCATTCACCGTAATCGCCATTTGTACCGTGATTGGTTGTTCTCCTCATACCCTTGTCGATGGTTCCAATCGCTGTCCTTTGTCAGGGTATCACCGCTAGCTCGTACAGCCCGCAACAAGGTCGTTAATCTATGATGATGGTCTCATACGTCCGCTAAGTGGCACTTGTGAGGAATGAGGAGAAAGGCCAATATTTCTCGGTGTATATCATTTCGAAACACAACAAGACGCCGGAGAATGTCGTTTCCGAAGTACTTCGACTTCTGAAATCCCCCACCGTGTCACGTCATCGTTGGCAGGTCTTGTGCGGCAGCAATAGACCCATGACCGAGATTTACTGGGGTGATAAGCATGGACGACTTGAAGGCACCCATCGACATGTATCAAACGCTTGGCGGCGAATACACAGAGACGGAATGACATAACGGATGCCAGAAAGTATCTCCTAGGCAGAAGCGCAGCCTCCGGTTATGGGACCTCTCCAAGACTTCTCAAGCTCAAGAACGTCTACAGATCATGGAAAGTGGCGTCAATACTAAGACACTCCAATATTGAAGATCAGGTCAACGGGGTTCCATGTCACGCCTTACCTTGAAGAATTGGGATCGGAGCAAGGTTACCATCAGCGTAGACATCTGGGTTGCAGGGACAGTTGACGCTCAAAAAGCTGTATACGGTTATATTTCCTCCTTGAATTGGCTGCGTGACCTTGATAAGGGTAAACTGTAATCAATGGTAAATTCTTCACGTCACACGAACAGGCACAGCCGATACTCGAGGTCGATGATGCTTAGATATTACCAATACACAGTGTCTAATTGTCTATAGCTGTCTCGTAGATCGACTCGGAAGTCCTTACGGATAGTGCAACCAAAGCGTCTCTCTATCCCGATCGACCATGCCCTCGTATACTTGTCTGTCTCATCCTAATGCGCGACTACCCGTAGGTTGACCGTTGACCGACCTCGATCTCAGCACGCGAAACAAGGGTCCCCGATAAATCAAGTCACAAGTTGAGCCTAAGTCGGATATGATACCAGGATGGTCCATAGACTCAGTGTCAATGGCGAAAGATGTCGCCACCGCTTGTAGCCTAAGGAACGCGAGGGCCACATGATCAAGGTGACCTTAGCGCGAAATTCGCGTTTCATCATTACAGTACAGGTTCTGCACCAATGAAAGTATGCAGCGATCCTTCTGGACAAATCATCCTCACCTACTCATCGTTACTCCGCTGGAAATTACAGGGAATGTCGTTCTATCTCAGTATGACATCCAATCGAGACCTCGTTCAAGCGATTGACCAGAAGGCGTCGTGACCTGGCAGAGGTTCTTTCAAGCAGTGATACTGTCGCAACGAAGCCTTCACGTGGTCCAAGCTGATGCCGACGACGCCATCCTTTCATACTTTTGAATAGCTAGACCGCTGCCTCGTAATCCTCCTCGCGGCCATCGTTGGCTTATGTCGCTAGCTTGCGTCACCTGACATCGGCCGATGGCGTCTTACGTATCCTTCGCATCCTTTGTTCTTTCACCCGTGGCATTCTGTACTTGACGTATCAGCTCTCTTGTATAAGGCAAGCTGGGTAGCTATAAAGCTTACTGTAGAGAGCAAGGGTTGATATTTCTTTCTTCCCAATCTGTTCCGTAGAAACCCTCTCTTTACCAGTCACCTTCGCAAGCCAACCCATCTACCATTTCACAAAGCCAAGTTGTCAATGCCCTGCCCTTGCTCTGCGCTGACCAAGACTGCTGCCGGAGGTGAAGCCGTCAGGATGGAGAAGGAAGAAGAAAGTCAACTTGAACAAAGTCTAAAACGAGATCTGGGCGATGCGATCAATCGTATGACGGATTTTCGCGACCAGATTCGCGAAAGCGGATCTGCGCCTGACAACTGGACTGCAAAGTACGCTCAAGTGAGAGACTGGCTGAAAGAGGACGCAGGGGAACACATCGATATCCTAGAAATGGTGGATGCATGTCATGTCGAGTCGGCATCTGTGAAGCCAATGTCTCCGAACACGAGGGATGGGTTCACAGCCGAAATAACAATCAAATTCATCGACGGATCGACGTACATGCTGTCTCGGTCATCGAAAGTTCGTACCGGAAACAAACAGTCCAAATCATTGCCCGCTCCGCAGCAGACAGACCGAAAGAGCGGCGAAATCGGTCACGTGGGCTCGATGATGAGCCCTCCAACGACGATCAACAGCTCCATCATGAGTTGTGATCCGGGGACCGCCACATCCCATACTCAAGGGGGTCTCTCGGCATCGAAAGACATTAGTGAGCTGGAGGACAAATTCGACAAGGCTTCCATTGGCAGTTCGGATCAGGCGAAGTGAATAGAGAGTAGCTATGGATAATCGAGAAAGGTCACTTCATAAGACGATGCGCATCTTTGAGCTCTTCAATTTCTGTGCAGCTTTCTTACTTGTACCGCGTAGATGGGAAGCAGAATCTAGTTCCGGATCATCCAATTTCGATGGCTTGACATGAAGACGTATACCATATGGATAACGCACTTCCTCTTGGTGACTATCAACGAACCCCTCGATATCGGGGCGTGTTTCCTACCGCAAAACCAATTCGCGTGTTGAGAGTCGTCAAATCCCGTGATGGCTATGGCCGATGACTCTACCAGCTGACTCCTCTCTCTACAGGAAAACGAAATCAATGTATGTGGTTTGCCCTCCTAGTCTTGACCTGAGGTCACCGTCAGGTGACACAAGTCGATGCCGTGCTGTTCCTTCCTTTGTTGCGTAACTCCTGATCAGCTGAACTTATCACTTGGAGCTTCCCATTTACACCATCTTTGCGGCTATAAGAACCATCTTTTGTTGATGCCACATCAGCGTCCAACTCCTTGGCCGAGATGACTATCGAAGGCTGTAGTTTGCCAAGCGGGTTATCGGCAGCAGCCCGGGGCATACAAGCGAACAGTCATACAGATGAGCGATCTGAGTAAGTACTATGAGTTCGATCTCAACAAGCGGAATACGCTAAGACGGTCTTGCAGACCAACATCAACCCAAGTGGAAGTGGGTAGTCTGGAAGGGTAAAATTAAGATGGAGGCTGCAGAAGAATTGAATAAGCCCTCCCCGTTTGGACAAGAGGAAGAAAAGTGGACCGCCTTGCGCAACGATTTGAACGGTAATCTCGAGGCCATAGTCCAGGAAGTACAGGTTCATCACCTGGATCTGGGGGGGAAGAACCTGCAGAAATGGACAGACAGCTCGTGGCGGGAGTTCTATACCGAGAAACAAGCCGGGCGATTGGAAGGCTGGAAACAAACTCTCGAAGAACAGGCGACCGAGTCGATGGACATGCTCAATTACCATCCCGGTCTTCTACTAGAACCGTCGATCAAGATTGACCACCTTTCCAACAGTCGAATCAAGTGTGTTGCAGCTTACTGTATTGGACGCGGTCACGTCGATGGCAATGGGACTAGTAGCAAAGGACATTCGCTGTACTGCACCATGGAGTTCGGTTTCGAGCGAAAACCAGTGGTTGGAAATAGCCCACAGCAGCGACGGTTCGGCTTCCCCGGGTCAACTGTGTCTGGTGAATCTGGGAGTGATGGCAGCAGCGCAACGCGATCTGGGGCCACCAGGACTGAGAATGTCGCACTTGAACCCAACTCGAGTCTGGAGGGACACGACGACTCTCTTGCTACCCAAAAGTCGTCCATGCGATGATTACTCATGCCTGTCAGGTTATGTACCCAATCGATAGAGGTAGAATCAACGATGCAGATAGGATACAAAAAAGATGCCGTTATCTCTCTCGCTTTTGAAAGCTGGCTGTCGTGCTTTCAGCCTCTGAAGCCCTGGACCGATATGACGTGCCAATCCCATCAGTCACTCTACACATAGATGCCGCGATTGCCCTTGCATAACAGCACGGGTCATGTTGATATAATAGTATGAACAGTCAGTTCATGCTTAGAGAGCGCGATACCGCTTGGCCGGACGTGAATCGCCACCACCGCGTTTCAGCTAACAGAGGCGGTATGGAAGCTATCGATGGGAAGCTGATCGGTTGGAGGACGGCTTACATCGGATGATACATATCTGAAAGAATGCACATATGTCGACCCGTCGGAATCTGACTAGCTCAGAAAAGCTCTTGCAAAAAAAACTTCGTTCCTTTGTCTGCATTATTCTTGACTGTCGACCGTTCTCCGTAAGTCATCATGGTTCTCATAACGTCATCGAATCTTCCCGTTCATCACCAGCGAATAGTCGCTGGTCTTACGAAACAAGGCTTCTGAACTGTCCGTAGCTTGATAACGCAGACTCCACGCGATAACGAAGATGATCCGGTAGCCCGGCTCAAATTGTGAGTGGACTTCCCCACCTGAACCGAGTTGCATCCGGTCACGTGATACCGCTACTTCCGTCTCGTCATATTTCGTCATAATGACTACTAGTACATAGCTATCAATGGGGCAGACATCAGAGATTGAGTGATCGCTCGCCGTCCTTAATGCTGTGAGTCTGGCGCAATAATGATGAAATCGACTATGCAGCCTTCCTTTGATCTGAAACTCGGCGCGTGACTTGCTGCTCGTCTTCTCCCAATGCTATATGGTCAAACGGTTAATTACCTACCTTCCCTGATTACTGGAACTTATGGTGACCTCCCACTTCATCGTTAGAACCTGCAATATCAGAACCTTCATCCGAAATGGTCATGACCCCTCGAGGTGAGCTGCTGAAAACCGCATTGGCGCTATACCTGGTCCTCGTTAAAGGTGAGATTCCTTTCCGTAGAGAACATCACCCTAGAATTGCGGGCAGAGGGCCTACCTGAGCTTGTTGTGGAGCACAACCTTCCACTACGAGACGTGTCGCTGTCGGGACATCACCACGTATGGAAAGAATTGGGGTTGGGCATAAGCAAGATTGTCCAGGAGGTGTTGGCACCCGCACTCTCAGCGATCTTGAAAAAGTCCTGTGGCGAAGACTGGGACGAAGTTCTCAAGAATTTTGAGGTTGCAGCAAATACGCAGTATTGGAGTCCTCAGAGTGATGAGGCCTTGAAGAAGGCGATCTCCGCCAATTGGCCGGCTGATCAATATCTACGCAAGAGATACAGGAACTGCAAGAATCCGCTTGGTAAAGTCGACTACACTATTGGGAAGGCGGATCATGACCCTACACAGGAGTATCTTGAGTTTCCATTCTGCTGCACGATCGCACTTACAATTCCCCAAGATGACGGCGATCACACATGCTATCCCCTCTTTTGGCAGTGGCGCGCCCGATACCGCTTGTATCGGCAAAAAGAAAAACCGCTCGATCGTCCTGACACGATCGATGAGGACGTCTCTTCGGGCGACACAAGCAAAGAAACTGCGATCACAGATTCGCCACAGATGTCTGATGTCTCCTCCGTTGCGACACGCCCCGCTGAATGTAGCTTGCCTCGGCCAGAGACTCCGGAAGGGCGGAGCGATGCTACCAGTCAGGAAACGATGACCTCGCTGAAACCTCCGTCGATCTTCAAGAAGTTCGGAAAGACGATTAGAAAGTTGGGCTTGTGATGATCATTCATACGATTTGGAGTAGGCAACAATCGCAAGTAGTCACAATGGGCTTTGTTGACCCTTCCCAGGCTGATCTTTCTTAGTCACCGATGCTGTAAACTGGCCAACATTCGATACATCGCCTTAAGTTTCTGTTGCGCTCTAGATGCCAGTATCTATCGTCGACAGATCTTTCTTGAACAACCCGATCCGTTCACTCGCCTGTCAATAGGTACGCCGGCTCTTGATATGTTCAGTGGCCATGATAGAGCAGTAAGGCAGATATCTTCTCCCCTTAGGGAAGAAATTGTTGAATGATTTTACGAAGAATTCCCTGCTTATGAGCTCGAATCTGTGTACTGTGACTCAAGCCCCAGCTTTGCGATGCACCAGTTGGGTTGCATCGGTACACTCGAGCAGGGAACATCAACAGCGAGAAGATCTGGGCGGGCGCATCAATTCTACTGATTAGGTGATGTTCCCCAGGAGAACGTAATGACAGACTGGCCTACATGCTTTCGGATCGTGATAGTATCGAGTCGGTTTCAGCCCGTCCGCGCGCTAAAATCGGCGCACGCCTTGAAACCTGATACGAAGTTGGAGGTATCTAGCGGCGTCATACCACACGCATCTTCCGTCTCATTGGTTGTACTAGTGTCGACAATGCGGGGCGTCCGCACTGTTTATAGGTAGTCAATGCGCTACAGCGCGGCGTGATCAAAGGTCTTCGATGGACGGGTGAATCGAAACCTGGAATATACTAGTAGAAGCAAGTATCTTTAGCTAACATCTGTCTGATTTAACAAATGTCTTTCCGGGTTGTGCATGGTTTCGTCAGCTCCACCTTCGCTGGATGTTTAGCTCTGCCGGTGAAAATTAATAGGATCGACGGTGCGTCATGTCTCCTTTGAATCAGCCTGATTTCGAAGTCCGATCCGTCTCTTATCTCCGCGATGCAAGGTCTCAGTTGCAGGCGTCCCAGCGGCGGATTTCACAGCCACCTTCGTCTCGCGAAGGAGACACAGGTCATAACCGATCAGTATCCCTTAGACAGTCTCCCTTCAGACCTTATCCGCAGACTGCCGAGAGTTCAGCAAGACGCGGTACTGAAAGGTTCAAGAATACGAATCCCTCCATTGACCTCGCCGGAAAATTGGCAAGAAAGGAAAACTATGCCCAAGCGATGCCCAAGCAGTATAAATCGCTGAAGGCCATTGCTTGCCAAGATCAGGTAGTGGGCATGGACTTTCCTGCTCAGCAATCTTCACCAGCACTATCGAATCAATCGTCCCATTATGTCCTATCATTGGGATGTCACTGAACAACGGCTTTATACCCGGCGCACAGAAACTGAAAGGGCATTCCCTCCTGCCGAGTCGTATCAGCACGCCTGGGAGTTCTTGAAACCGCTGATGGAAGGAGCTTGTCCGATACATATACAAGCCATGATTGATCGCCTTGGAGGTCTCAAGGAAGACTCGCCGATTCTGCTTACACAGAATATCGGAGAGGCAACTGAAGTTCTCAACAACGCGTTGAAAGATGCCCGCCGAGAGATCAGAAGAGCCATCTCGTCGAACGTCAGTCAGTGGATCGCGCAGTACAACGAAGCAAATCCATCGAACAGAGTCATCGTGACTCCAAGCTACGGGTACAGATGCCTCTCGATCGATCGGCAAGGGAATACTTTCACCACGGAAGTCAGCGTGAACTACCTGTTGAGCAACTCAGGGGGAGCCGTGGGACCTACGATGACGTGCAGTCAAAGTGTACTCGTCACTGTGTATCGCATCGGCAGGGGTGCCTCTCAAGCCAGCTCCGGCTTCACGGATAGAGAAACCTCTGGCTCGAGCGGACCTTCTCATACTGAGTCTCTTCTTCATGGCGTCTCAGACTACGGTGTTAGTGTTCAGCCTGGTACTAGCGACTACCCCTGATTATTATCAGGATGTTTCAGCAGTCATGCAGTCGTATGAATCCTGTTCATCGGCTATGATTTCGATACCATGATAGCCTATGGAATGCGACAAGAATCCATACGCAATCGTTGTGCGCCTCTGCTAGCCATCCGTCGAGCATACGGATTATCCCAGTACAGTATAGTAGCCCGATCGAGAGATACAAATCTGACGGAACTTCCGATGGCCCGATCCTGTTGCGTCAGGCTTGTATACATCGTTCAAAGAGCACGGTAGGTCGGTCTCAGCATACATTACAGATCGATCATGATATCGCACTCGCATATATGGATCGAAACGATTATGGATAATTGGCGCAAACGCCAATGCAGCAGCGAGATGGCGCGTTTCAGCTCATCATCGCGCGAGAACGCCTTGAACGCCATCCGCAGCTTAGGGTGCAAGACCCTCAAGGGCTTTGAGATAAGACGTGATACGTCTTCCTTTCTCTCACTAGGTGGTAACCATACGGTATCTGTGGAGAATCCTATTCAAGGTTCCCAAAATCCATAGGTTTGAGCGGCAGAAAGGCAAGAATCTGTGCAACCACATCAAACACGCCACGTTCATCGCTTCGCCGCCTTATGCCCGGTCCGAGAAGCTTCCCACAGCCGTCACCATGACTGAGAATCTGTACCCTTCCTTTGTATGATCTCGACGATCCAGAGAGCTTGTCGAGATCACCGCTGTGGCGTCGATGATATATAAGACGGCCCAGGGAGCCCAGCCCAGCCATCATTCTCCTGATGCTTGTCCGCCCTTCAATCTCACTAGCATCAGCCCATCTAGATAATAGAGGCCGCTTCAATCGGAATTATCAGCGTCAACGCGATCACCAAGATGAATACAACGACTTCTAACGACAAGATTCGGACCGGATCCAAAAAGAGTGTGTATCATATATTGTGGAAGTTCTAAAAGGTGAACCTCCGCTGATTATGACATTCGTAAAGGTTCCGGCCAGCGGTGGAGTGCTAGGGTGGACGACGAGCAACGGGTTGTCACTCAAACTGGAGACCCAATTCAACAAGATTTTGTGAAATTGATGGCCAAGCAGTTTGACGGATTATCGCCCAAGCTTGAGGCATTTTGCTCGGATATGGGTTCCACTGCGACTTTTGATGGCTTGAGGGCACGATATACTGAGGGCTTCAATGACAGACGGGAGGCTTGGATCGATGAGCTAGATACAGTGATATCCACGCTGCGGAATATTCAAGACAATGACAGAAGTTTCTTGTCTCAGTGGAGATTAGGCTTCGATACAGTGGGAGAGAAGACTTGCCAACTTTCTATCCAAGCAACTGAGCTTCGACTATACTGGATCCGAGAATCTCCTACCCCTAGCATAAGGGCGGAATATTCCGTCGTTGTCACTTTTCTCGAAGAGCGACCGGGTAGTTCGGGTAATCTGAAGAAAGGTCATTCACGATCGGTGAAAGAAGCTTTCTCTTACTCAGATATGCCCGGACACGGAGAGTTGAAGAGCACGTACGCTTGCCAGTGGCCGATAAATCTCCTGAATTTTGGAGAGGTTCTTTCATATGCTAGAGCTCCTCATCGATCGATGCCGTTCGATACCGATAGGAGTACCAACATGTCTCAAACCGTTGAGATGGGTAGTTCATCTTGCATTTCACTCATTCCGAAGACGGTCGACAATTCATCATTGATGACAGGCCCTAGTCAGATCGATGCCCCTCTTAGCGTCCGAAGAAGGGATCGGAACAATAATGTTTCGTATCTGAGTCATGAAACTGGATCGAGCGGTTAGATATACGCTGAAAGTCCACTGTCGATAGCTTGCTCTACCATTGGATTGTGGGTTTGCGATATATCATTGTAAACTATGTTGTGAATCGACGTTATCAGATGCAGTCGGGCCCATTTTACCTTTTCAGGAACAATCGTTCTGCAGATCGTCTCGTACTAGCCTGAATGAACGTGTAATCAAGCCTCACTCCCAGTTTCGATACAAGAGCTGGAGATTTATCACTCCCTGATCATAATAGCAATGCGCAATAGCGGCGGACGAAGCGAAGCTATACGGACGACATAGAACAACGACCGTCAGTATCATGCGCTGCGTTGCGTCGAGCAGGCAGCAGGTTGAAATCGACGCAGCGTTCCACCGTTTATAAAAAGTCCAGAGCAAGAAGTTTATCTGAACTTCCGCAACAGCACAGTACATCTCCACGCTACCATCGTTTACTCTTTCTCTTGGCGGGAAGCCCCGACACACCGCACGAAAGGCCTCTCAGTGACTTTCGCAAGATCGTGGAACAGCGATCTTATGCCTTTGAAGTAACCTCAAGGACCTTTAGCTGGAGGGCACCGTACAATCCTCCTTTGTTCTGCGGTGAGCAAACCCCACGATTTGTTGAGAACCTAAACTAAACTGAGCGGTGTGACGCGGCTTTTAGAAGCAGAAGAGAAGAGCCCGCTTGGTCATACCTTCTTTGCCAAGACAAGAAGCGCACTACCAACCGTTCTCACGGCCCCTTTGTCAACAGATCCCGCTTCGGAGGACATTATCAAGTCTGTCTTGAGTCACTGTGTCCTATAAGTTGGTCTTCTACCCTTGGCTACGATTTCTATGACCCGATCCTGATCATTTTTCCCAACATTCATCACAAGCAATCTTTTTCAATTCCGCCTTGTTACAACCAAAGATCAAAGAGCGACATCCCTGAAAGCAGAATGACTTCGGACAACGGATCAACCAGGAAGAATACAGGTAGGTACTCATGAAAAGCTACAAGTCTCGTCACTGCAACGTCGACTAACATATCGGACGGCATGAAGGCTACCGAAGGTGCTGGAAAACTAGCCTGAACATCAAGAATGAAGGAATCGATCGACTCGGCGATGTTATTGACGAACGCGTTGTGCCTCCGCTATGTTGGATATCGAGTTGATCACCGTTGTATAGTTTGCATGAGGATAAAATATACAAGAGGGGATCATGAAATCAGACCAGAATGGTCTGCTATATATATTATTCTGGTAGGTGGCAAGGTGCTGCGGTTTGCGGTTTGCGGTCTGCGGTTTGCGGTCGCAAGTTGCGGTTTGCGGTCGCAACTTGCGGTTGTGGTCGCAACTTGCGACAGTGGTCGCAGATTGCTAAGCGAGTCGCAGATTGCTAAGCGAGAACAAAAGGAAAGGTGCGAAGAGTGGATGTGCTTTATTGTTCCATGCGGTCTATTGTTCTGGGAGAACGATAGACGTGCGGGAGAACAATAGGATTCGACACTCCCCCTCACTCAAGCGTCCTTTGCGAAAGAGGTTGGTTTTCCGCTGAGACCCATCCCGGTGACAAGGTGATGGAATTGGTGATGGGCGAGACCTTTGGTGAGAGCGTCGGCAAGGTTGTCTTGAGTAGGGATATGGGAGAGTTCAACGGTGTTGTCGAGTACCTTCTCCCTGAGATAGTGGTGTCTCATGTCGATGTGTTTGGTGCGATCATGAGCAACAGGATTCTTGGAGAGTTGAATGGCGGCATTGTTGTCATTGAGAATGGCAAGAGGACCAGAGACCGGGTGACGGAGAGATTCGAGAAGAGTGCGGAGCCAGACTGCCTGTCGGGTGGCATCAGCGGAAGCCATGTATTCAGCTTCCGCAGTAGAGAGAGCTGTGGTTGGTTGTCGTCGGGATTTCCAGGCTACCGGTCCTCCAAAAGCACGGAAGAGGTATCCGGTAGTAGATCGACGAGTGTCCAAGCATCCGCCCCAGTCAGCATCGGCGTAGCCCAGGATGATCCTTTGGCCAGAGGTGGCGTCGTAGGTAAGGCAGAGCTCAATAGTGCCTTGGAGGTATCAAAGAAGGTGTCGAGCAGCATGGACGTGTTGCTTGTTCCACTTGCTGACGGTCCGAGCTAAGACTCCGGCAGCATGAGCAATGTCGGGTCTGGTGATGGTGGCCGCATACATGATTGATCCGACCATTGCGGGATATTCCTCATGAGCGGCTTCCTGATGTTCAGCGTCGGTAGCGGGAAGAGATCGGAAGCCGGAAGGAAGGGGAGTCTTTGCCGGTTTGGAGTTGAGCATGCCAAACCTTTCCAGGACCGCCTGTACGTAGTGTTCTTGAGAGATGTAGAGTTTCCGGTTGGGCCTGTCTCGGAAGACGTTGAATCCAAGAAAGTAAGAGACCGCTCCTCCGTCAGAGCACTCAAATCGGTCGTTGAGCTTGGTCTTGAAGTCGTCCAGTTCCTGACGATTGTTGCAGGCGATGAGTTGATCATCAACATGGACGGAGAGAATGAGAAGGGTATCCTTGGTTGATCGGATGTAGAGACAGGAGTCGGCCGGAGAAGGAGTGAGACCGAGAGATCGAAGGAATTTGTCAAGGGCCTGGTTGAAGCAGCGAGGTGACTGTTTGAGGCCGTAAAGTGATTTCTGAAGTCGGAGAACCTTGTTGGCAGGGATGTTGCTGCCTTCAGGAGGTTCGAGATGGACGAGTTCCTCTAGTTCTCCGTTGAGGAAGGCGGCCTTGATGTCGACCTGATCACAGTCCATGTCGAGGTAGTTGACCAGAGCAAGGAAGACGCGGATGGTATCCTTGTGAGCGACTCCCGCGTAGAGTTCATTGTAGTCCACTCCTTCCTTCTGCAGAAATCCTTTTGCTACCCATCGAGCCTTGTAGGCGGATGGCTTCCCGGTCTCTCCGTCAATCTTTCGGGTGAAGAGCCATTTGGCTCGAAGAGGTTTGGATGTAGCTTCTTGCCTATCAATGACAGACCAGACCTTGTACTGATCCATCTTGTCGAGTTCGGCCTTGATAGCCTCCTGCCATTTGTCCCATTCTGGAGATCGGTGGGCTTCCTGAAAAGTTTGAGGGATGGCCGTGGAGATGAGTGCATGGCCACAGATGACGGCGGTAGCGAGGTTTGCAGAGTATCCAAATTTGGCAGGTGGTTTGCGGACTCGTCGGGAGCCATCAGGCAGGACTGGGTTTTCCGGTGTCGGTAACAGTGCAATATCCCATCCTTTGCTCCAAATGCCGGATGACTTGTGTTTGGCCTGTGTAGCCTGTGTAGCCTGATCACTTGGGATGGTCGTGTCATCACCAGGCTGATCAGGTGAGTTGAGAGTATCGGTATTGTCTTCAGCCGATTGATCCTCTTCAGTTTCTGAGTCTGAGTCTGATGTTGGTTCAGGGACTATGTCGATGTCAACCTGAGTGGACTGGATTTTGGTTTCCAGTGATTTGGTGTTGGTGGAAATCTTTGGTTGTTTACCAAAGACCACATCACGAGAGATGGTGACCTTTTCGGTGTGTAGATCCCAAATCCTGTAGTTGTCGGTCCCCTCAACGTAAGAGAGTAGTTGCCCTTCTTTGTAGCGAGGGTGAAGTTTGTTGGTGTTGTTGTGGTCATGGAACCAGAGCTGACAGCCAAAGGGTTGAAGGTGCCGGGAGTTGACTTCACGTTGCCTCCAGAGATCCTCCGGGACATGTTTGTCGGATCCTGCGGGAGCCCGGTTCCTGGTGTAGATGGCGTAGTTTGCCGCTTCGGCCCAGAACTTGTCATCGAGTCCGCTATCGATCAGGAGCGTCCTTACCTGATTGAGAATGGTAAGGTGTGCCCTTTCAACTCTACCGTTCTGAGCATGAGCGGCAGTTGGAACAAAGTGATGCTCGATGCCCTTCGCTTTGAGGTAGTCACGAAGAGCATGTGACTCGAATTCTCCTCCTTGATCCGATCGGATGGTCTTGACCGTGCAGTCCAATTGATTTTCAACTAGGTTGATATAGTCGATCAATGCCTGTCGGGTCTCAGACTTCTTCTTGAGAAAGCTGAGGTTGACCTTCCGAGTGTGATCGTCGTAACAGGTAAGGAAGTAGAGGGATCCTCCAATGGAAGGGGTTCGAGCTGGTCCCCAGAGATCGACATGGATAGACTGGAGTGGTTTGCTGGCTCGGATGTTGGAAGCAGGAGCGGGAAGTCGAGATCCTTTGCCTTGGATGCAGGCTGAGCATTGGAAACCGTAGATATCTTTTCCAACTTTGGCCCAGTCCACTGTCTTGTCGAGTCTTCCTTCTTTGCCGAGCTGAACCACTGAGCGAACATTGAGATGACCAAGTCTGCGGTGCCAGTGGTAAAGGATGTTCTCCTCTGTGACGTTATTGGTGGCCGTGATGAGTGCGGCCTTGTGTCGAATAGGAGTGCTTGCCGGATCGAGGACAAACAAACCGTCTTGTCGTGTTGCTGTGATGACCGGTTTGCTGGGTCCATCTTCAGTAGTGTTGAGGATCGCTTTGTCTTTTGCAAAGGTCCAAGAGTGTCCGTCGGTGCTCTGTGCGGCACCAACACTCAGAAGGTTCCGTCCCAGTTCGGGTACGTGAAGAACATCGTATAGTGTGATGTTTGGTAGTTTGAGTTGACCGCATTCTCTGGCGGTGATGTTGGCGCCGTTGCCTATGGTGATGTTTGCCTGGATCGGTAGTTGTTTGATTCCAGTGAGTAGGTTCCTGTCGTGGACCATGTGATGAGTGGCTCCAGAGTCTACGACAATGTCGAGTGCAGACGAGTGGGCCAGAAGGGCATTGTGATCGATGGTGATGCTTGCCATGAAAGCAGAGCTGGCGTTGATGCCATGATGTTGACTCCTGTTGCTTACGAGTGCGGCGATGTTGGCACTGTTGTTTGTGTACCTGTTGGCGTTGTTGCCGGTACTGAAGTTGGCGGGCTTAGTGAAACAGTTTGCTGTTGAGTGTCCATTCTTCTGATGGAACTCGCAGAAGGCATTCTCGTCAAAGGGAGATCGAGGAATA